AACTCGCTTTATCAACCCCCCCCCCAAAAAAAAAAGGGGAGGCGGAAACAAATCGCCTTTTTTAGGGTCCTTCACTACGGGGTATCAAAGTGTCATTTTGACTCGTAATTTTGACTCCCGGGTGATAAAGGTATTCTGATACTAACTAGTAGTGCCGACACACAGTGGGCCAGAAGACCGGTGAAGGCGGTAAAAATCACGGACGCGTTTTGAGCTCCTGAGTCGCTTTACAGGCCTCGAACCGGACGTGTGACCCCACCAATGGATTGCTCTCCGAACGAGGAATCCATTGGTGGGGTCACACGTTCGGTTCCAGTCCCATTTAGCGACTCTGGAGCTCAAAACGCGCCCAGAATTTCGGCCGTCTCCACCGGTCTTCTGGCCCACTGTGCGACACCCGTGGCAATCGTCCCCGAAAACAGCCCCGACTTGCGCCAACAAGGAAGAGCGGCCTCCGCCCCCGCCGCGTCGCGCTGTAGGCGTTGGAGCTCCGCCCCCTAACCCCATCGCCTCGCCGCCTCGCCGCTTGGCCCGGGGCTGGCTTTGGTTCGGCTGCTTGGCGCCTTTGGCGCACTGCGGCCCAGCCGTGCCCAGCCGCCGACGAGAAGGGCGTCATCCAGGCCGCCAGCGCCAATCCCTCGCAATCCCAGGGCGCAACGGCCCGGGGCGGCGCAGCGCGTCCAAATAAATAAAGGCCCCGGGGGGCCGCGTGGGGCGGGGCGGGGGCGGCGGGTCGATGTCCAAGCTACCGCTACTCACACAGACACACACACACACAGCTACAGCGTGCAACGAGGTGCCTACCGGGTAGGGGGCAGTGTACTGGGTGCCGGGGCAGTGCCGGGGGTCGCGGCGTGTCACGTCCACTCACACAAACAACAGATGCCGTCGGCGAGCTTGTGCATCCCTCGACGCCGGCCTCTGCGAGTGAGTCTGCGACCCAACCAGCCGACCAGCGCGGGCAAGGGGCTCGCCACCAACTGGCAGCGTGCAGCGCGCAGCCCGCGCACCGCGCCTACGCGGTTTGGGGCGGGGCGGGGCGGGGCGGGGGACGCCGCGCACTCCAGCAGCCTGGCGAGGGGAGGGTGCCCCACGCCGGGGGTGGCGGCCAGCGAAGGGGTGGCGGGGCGGGGTGGGGCGGGGCGGCAGGACTCGACGAGGCCGGGCCGCCGTGCGTGGATTGGTACCGTCCGTTCACCGCCCCGCCGCACAGCGCACAGCACAGCGCACCCGTACCGCACCGCCAGGGCCAGAGAGAGGGAGGGAGAGAGTGAGAGGGAGCGACACGCGGCCCGCCCGCGGACGGGGTGGGGTGGGCGTCGTGGCGGGGTGCGGCGGGGTGCGGCGGGGTGCGGCGGGGTGCGGCGGGGTGCGGCGGGGCGAGGTGCGGAGGGGCGGGGTGCAGTGGGTTGGGAATCGATGCCGGGTTCGGCGCCATGGCCGCGCGCTTGCCTCCAGCAAGCCTCCAGCAAGCCTCCAGCAAGCGGCGGGCCCGGAGGACCCCTGGAGTCTCGTAGAGGCCAGGCTGGCCAGGCTGGCCATGCCCGGGGCACCGCGCCGGGGCGCTACTTGACCGTGCCCAGGGTGGCCCAGGGCCCCGCAAACCCCACAACCCCACCCCTGCCGCGCTCCGGCGCCACGGCAGCGCTTCCGCGGGGTATTTCGGTCAATCGCGCTGGAGTGCACCACTGACCAGCAGTTCGCATCTCTTTCTCTCTCTCTCGCACTCATGGGGCGTTTCGTATGGGGTGCGAGAGAGACAGAGCGCCGCCCTGTCCACTGGGCAGCGGCGCGCAAACCGCCCCCCACCCCCCCCCATCTTAGCCCTAACACGGGCGACGTTTATCCATCCCCATCCTGGATCAGGTTATCCCCGCCTCACCACCTCCATAGCGCCACACCAAAATTCAAGTCATTATATTTTTAAAAGTGCAGAAAGTTACAAAATTAAAAAATTAAAAAGTGTCAGAAATCTTTTTAAAAAGTAAAAAAAAAAGTGTTAGGTATTTTTTTAAGAAAAAGTCACTTGATTTAAATTTTTTGAAAAAAGCTAAAAATTGTATTAAAATTCAAATGTAACAAAAATTTACAAAGCTAAAAGAAAACTTAAATTTTTTTGACGTTTCATAATTACACGTCTGATCACCTAATAGTGGCTTGTGCGGAAGTCCCAATCAATGGTGCACGGGGCCGGCTCTCCTTCTCCCTCGCTCGCACAGGAAAGGGAGGGGGATCACGTTCACTGGTCACGCAATAATTAAGACCGTCATCACTAATGGACGGCGCCTCTCTCTCTCGCACTCACGGGGCGTCCCCCAGGGCACCGCAGGGGTGCGAGAGAGACAGAGCGAGGAGACCGCTCGCTTGTTGCGCGTCCCATGTCCGATGCGCGAAGCGCGATGCGCCACTCACGCCCCCCAAGTGCCACTTTCACTGGGCCGGGAATAGCCGGCCGCGCTACCCCTTGCAGTGCAGGCACAAGGGCGGCCGGAAGGGCCCGGAAACGGCAACACGACCTTCGCGATGACTGGCCGTTGCTAGCGCTGCCACCCCCAGCGCCATTCGGTCGGCAACCCTAATCGAGACGTCTTGACACGACTGCACAGTGGGCCAGAAGACCGGCGGAGGCGGCCGAAACGATAGACGCGTTTTGAGCTCCAGAGTCGCTGAACAGGACTCGAACCAAACGTGTGACCCCACCAATGGATTGCTCTCCGAACGATGGGGGGATCACACGTTCGGTTCGAGACCATTTCAGAGACTCTGGAGCTCAAAACGCGTCGAGAGTTTCAGCCACCTCCGCCGGTCTTCTGGCCCACAGTAGACCAGAAAGGTCTGGCCTGTTCCGAATTTGGGTTACTTTTCTCTCGGCGCTTTGGTTGCATTCCGTTTGAAACAAGTGACGGCTCGGGAAAGCCAGAGGGACTCTAGAGGGAACGCCCCCTTGCGTGTTCCGCGTGTTGCTTCGCGGCGTCGCGGCTTCGCGGGGCCCGACGGGGTGTTCCACGTTCAACTCGAACGGGTAAACAAACAGGGCGAGCGAGAGGAGTGTTTACACGGTAAACAGGCAGGCAGGCCGGCACGCCACGGCAGGCTCGTCCTGAACAGGCGTTGCGTTCGTCGCTCTGCCTCTCTCGCACTCACTGGGACGTTGTTCCGTGGGGGTGCGAGGGACGGCTCTGTTCGGAATCAGCCTGCAGGCATTCCCCGGTCCACAGTGGGCCAGAAGGCCGGTGGAGCGGCCAAAATTCTGGACGCGTTTTGAGCTCCAGAGTCGCTAAATGGGCCTCAAATCGAACGTGTGACCCCGCCAATGGATAGCTCTCCGAACGAGGAATCCATTGGTGGGGTCACACGTTCGGTTGGTGTCCCATTTCGCGACCCTGGAGCTCAAAACGCGTCTAGAATTTTGGCCGCTCCACTGGTCTTCTGGCCCACTGTGCGGTCCGGAAATACTCCGCGCGCCCGGTAACTACCCCACGCACAGAGGTGAAGTCAAGACGGTGCAGGTTCAAAGAACGACCTGGAACGACTCGAACTGATGGAGGGGTGGGTCTGCATTCCGAGGGGAAAGTTGAGACAGCGCCTCAGAGAACTGTAACCATTTCACAAAATAAGTTTGCGCTCAAATAATTGACACTATTTCAAGAAAAGGAACTCAAAGCAGTGAGAATGACAGAAGGCAAGAGGGTATTAAGGGTGTAGTTGTTTCAACTCACTAAAAAAAAACCACCAGACTCCTAATTTTAAACTACATCTAAGGCTTGCAGTGTGACGATCAACACACCAAAGACCCTCGAAAATTCAACTGTAAACCTGTGCCATGGTGCAAAGCCCAAGTCATCGACACTCAAAGAGCTAAAAGGACAAGAGACTTCCACATGGGCAGTGCAACTGCAAACAAACTAGGAATGCGATATACAAGTTGAGTCAGCTGCGATGAAACTACCAACATGACATTTGTCGCAAACTATTTTACCAGCTGGACTGACGCCTTAGGCACTCCGCCCCAAACAACAAAAGTACTGCGCAACGGTTTCAAACACCTAGTCACTGCATGCCCGAGACCTGGGGCCTGTGGCAGCAGGTAGACCCCGGCCCACACCCTAAAGCTGTGACAGGTCAGGTATGTGACGTACGGGGTTGGGGGAGAGGGGGGGGGTTCTGGACAAAGGCAGGGGGCCCGCTAACCTCTCTCGCCACTCCCAACAACAAACGCACTCGGTGGTGGCTGAAACCGGAGCCGGTAAATTCGCGCCTCGTTGCCCAAAACCCCCCCGATGCCGACAGGGAGCCACCCGTGTCGACAACATGCCCAAATTTACAGTGAAGGCGATTGGCGCCACCGAGTCCAGGACCAGGACGGGCTTGAGGAAGCCTATACGCCGGGTTGTGACTCGGGCACTCCACACGCCAGCATGCGCCAGCACTGACAATACAGCGACGGACCGCGTCCTGCCGGGGAACACTTACCGCTTCTTTGCATTTTTAATCACCAGGCGAGAACGGTTTCCAAACAGATCGCGAGAAAACGCACGCCAACAGCGACCAACGGCCCACAACACGCAAAGTCAAATAATCCTTTCAGACTGACTCAACCGCGGTTGCCAACACGGCGGCACAAAGCAGCTACCGATGTCTCATCCTCGATGACGAAACTGAGAGACGAAATTCCACACAAAAACGGAATAATCTCACACATTGTCAATATTTTTAATATTTTTCTCAGATTAGAAGCATTCCAAGACCGAATGTTTTTTAGTCATTTCGGTCCGTACGTTGCCATTACCGTGGTGCGGGGACTGAGGGGAGGGGGTGTCAAAAACGCGGAGCTGTCTGCTAGAGTCTGCAAGTGACAAACTTTGTTTTACTCAACTGGAAACGCGGTGCGTTGCTGAGCTACTTCTCAATTTGGTCCCACCTCACTGCGTTATCTTTCAGCAATGTAGTCCCTGCAACAATCCACGGAGTGAATTTGAGATTCGAAATTCGAGCTTCTTGCCGGAAACGGATCGGACCGTAGCCCCCTTCACTTTGTAGTTTGCAGCCGCTCCGCTAGGGAGCAGCACCGTGCAGCGTTATTGGCAGACAGCAGCAGACGATTTGAGAATGTTTGTTTTGGTTATGTAAAGCGAATTTATCTCGCAGAGGATAACATTTGAACTGACAGCTAACTGGTGAGTATCGAATCGTCTCAATGATGTTGTCTTTTTCTTTTGATGTTTTCTAATTTTGGCCTTTGTCAAGCACTTTACCAATTCCATAACCCTATGGTTCTTCATTAATATGATCAATTTTTACAGTCGATCCATTTTATTTTTTGGAATCTAGAATGGACCAATCCGCAAAACCCACAGAACCTCCAATTGACCAACTTTCATTGAATCTACGAATAAAAAAATACAAGGAATGCTGTTACAGATCGTATGCTGCTGGCCTGGCAGCTCTGTCCATAGGTACAAATCATGTTTGTGAAAGAATTCGTAAAAGAACAATGCCGTTGTGTGTCCTTTGCCATTATTAGATTCTCAAATTTCTGAATTTTGTCTTCTGTTTGCAGCCACATCAGCATCATACTTCATTCTCAAAAAGTTTCCAATTTATAATAAATACAGTATTGTTGTATCAGGTGGCATTGGATCTGTGGTCGGATACATAGTTTCAAAAGAGATGTCACAAGAGTGTAATTTAATCTTAAAGGCGCACAGAGAATCTATGCGCAATCCAGTTCAACCTGATAGTAATGAAGGAGCAATTGCAGACTTGAAGTAACATTGTGACATTTTCAAATTTGTTCTTGGCAATGACTGTAGCTAGCAAAACACATTAGGAAAATTTAAACTATTAAATATTGTAACAAAGTTCTTCAGTAAAAAAAATATGCTTTATTAGAGTACAAGGGAAAACATAACTGTTTTAAAATAGTATGGACCTTGATGCACATAACTGGACTTTTTCCTCAACAGAAAACAAAATACTGAATAGTGTTAAGGATCAAAACAGAGTGAAATACAAGAAGCAACATGAGTGAATGTGATTTACATATTGATGTCTCATGCGGTGTAAAATAAACTGACTGAACAGGGGTTTGCTTCATTTTTCCTTACTTGTCTAATTCATCCAATTCCTACTTATGACAGGGTAATCTAATTTAATGCAAAATGCGCGAATCAGTCTTAAAATCAACAAGTACAAAATAATAACATGTACACCTACTCCTAAGCCATAAGCATATGTATAAATAAACAACAAAGAACTAATAGTAATTAAAAAGTAAAATATGCTACAAAAATTATTGTGGTAGCATCAAAAGAGAGACTAGGGAAGGTAAACAGGTGACTTTCCAACACCATGATGAAACTTGCTCCATTCCTGTGATGTCAGTATACAATGGACAGCAACAAGGAGTAACTACCACAAAAGGATATAACAATATGAAATAAGGAAGGAAGACATTTGGTTCAAAATAAAAATGCACGACTTCTACAAGAGTTAAAGAACAATAGTCAGTCAGTAAAATTATAAACCTCTACAGGTTTCTCACATACAAATATCTTAGTTTTACAAACCAATATCACATAAGAGAAGAAATGGGATAAAAAGGAGCGTTACATTTTATTGTCACCTTTTTCCTGGAAGTTGATTGTCACAATAAAATTTCTTCTGAGTTTAAACAAATGGTCACAAAAATCATTAAAACTCAGCTACAAATTAAAGGTTTATTTCCCTTTAATGTATATGAGTAACTTACTGTGCATTAGTCAGAATATTTTATCAGATCATAGCAATTCAAAAAAAAAAAAAAAAAGTTAAGGCCACATTAACATGGGAATGCTACCTACAGTGTGGATCATAATCCGCAGATTGAAAATGTAGATGTAGAATGAGTTTATTCTGAGTAAAATGGGATTTTAATGACTAACTTACAGAACAAGCAGGTTCACTGAAAATTGGATGACTAAAAATACATAAAAGGAATAAAAACAATCGGAACTAAGTACACTGAGTTGAAATAATTGAGATTCCTATCACAACATCCAAAACCACTCGGCTCACTATACTTCCCTCACATGCTGCCAAAAGTCAGTGGACGAAGGGACGGGCCCCGGCATTGGTGTGGCTGGGGTGGAGCAGTGGTCGTTCCCAGTGAAGGGCAGGGCCAACCCTTCATTCCCGTTCACTTGGCTGGTTCCCGGAGTCTCAGCTCCGTCCAAATGTTCATGAGAGTGGCCATTCTGGCCGCAATATCTTTCCATTATTTTCTCTAATTGAGGCTGGACATAGCCGAGAAGTGGCCTAGCAGCAGGGTCCCCAGACCAGCACTCTTCCATCAACTGCCAGCAGTCCTCGTCAAACTGAGCCAACTTCTCGGGACGGGTTCCTACAAACAAACGAGAGTGCCCAAAGAGTAAGTCGTTTTTACATACTTGCAGTTAAGGCTTAATTGTCGTAGAGTTTCACATACCCCTACGGACGTATGTCCACAGTTGCTCTTTGTTGAGAAATTGCTCAAAAGATGATGGCAGTTTGACACTGCCGGCACAGATGTACCATAGTAAAATTCCAAATGCATACACATCAACACTAGAATCATAATGGCCAGAATGCATTTCTGGAGCCATATGGACTGGAGTGCCAACAATGCTACCAGACATCATTGCTTCCGGAATACAGAATCCCAGGTCAGTAAGTTTGGCTCGATTATCACAATCCAGCTAAAGACAAAGAGAGACTTGTTAAAAAAATGAAAATATGGGACCAAGAAATTATTGTTTGAGGCAAAGTGCACAACTTACTAGGACATTCTTTAATTTAACATCTCTGTGCACCAATCCTTGAGAATGCAAGAATCTGATACCCTCCACAACATCAATAGCTATTCGAAGGCGTGTTAGCCATGGTAAGCCCGAGCGTAAGCCTGAATACAAATCTCTTGTCAAGCGATCCATCACAAGTAGAACTGCAGGTGAACAGCCTCCTCCATAGCTATGATCAACAACTGATCCTCTGAGTCGCACGATTCGAGGGTGCTCCGGGACAGTCCTTAAATAACATTTAAGTGAGACAATTAGACTTACCGCTTGTTTTAAGTTAGCTGTAATACCCAGATACAGGTTCTTTTTGTTACCTTGTGTAATAAAATTCCATAGCTAAATCATTCCAGTGCTTGTCATCAGGTGGAACAACAGATTTTACAGCACATGGACCAGCTCCACCCCAAGATTCACATGAAAATACAACACCGTATTGACCTCGACCAATTTCCTTTCCCAGTTGAGGCATACCTTACATGAATAAAAAAGAAGAAAATAAGTGGAGGTTATGAATTTAAATTACATTATGTAAGATCTAAGAACCGCAATACCAACCATATCGGACCATATCAGCAATAGATGTGGTTTCAAGTGCCAATCTTGCTAGTCTAGGGGCATGGTGTCCGCGAATAGCAATTCTCTGTTCCTCAGTCTTTTCTAAATGCCCAGTGTAATGATTGGCGAGTGACCTTAAGGCAGCTAGGAATGCTTCGTGCGACAGTCGCACTCGATCTCTAAACTAAAATTTGAAGGGGGAAGAATGCACTTTGATATCACACTCCCTAGCTTTAGTAACAAGGCACTGTGCACACATTTACTAACCTGAGAAGAGATTGACTTGGCTAGTCGCTGGGGGCTCAAACTCTCCAACATTTCGGTGGCTACTCTTCGTCTCCATGCAGCATCAAGACGTGGAGGTGCACTCCATGGCAGCTGGACACTGTGTAGAAGTTGTCTCAGCCTTTCCAGAAATCCATGAAGTAAAGAGGAAGATGTTGATGTAGAAAGTTGTACAGAGTATGCAGCGCTCAAGATCTTAAAACAAAAGAGGTGGAAGTGTTACTTGGAGGACTAAACAGCATGAACTCAAAAACTTGTATCACTGCTCATACTTGTTTCAAGGCATCACTGGCGAGTTGAGGTCCTTGATTACTAGATACAACCAACCCTTGAGATTCAGTGCAACTGGAGAAATCCCAACTTTCAGATGTTTCTTTACAATCTTGTGACACAAAAAGCTCAGGCTCTGCTATGTCTGCCACTTCTCCAGTTTCAGAACGCTCCGTTCTTTCAAGACTGCAAAGGGTTCTTATGAGCGTTCCCACTACAGAATCCTGAAGACAATCCATTGAGCAAACAAGTCTTGTAGCCACAGCATGGGATAGACGGGAGAGAACAAGTTGCTGGATTTCAGTTGCTGCTAAGCGCACTGCTCTTGGAGTACCCTCTGGTCCGCTTTCACCAGCTGATGAAAGACTTGCTCCTAATAAAAAAGGATAAACAATGAGTTGCTGTGAAACACAGAAAATGCCCAAGATAAACATAAATAAGTTTGGCCAACCTCTGTACTGATACTGTGCAGCTTCTTCCACCAGCTCTGACTGCATACTTTCCAAAGTACTTGCAATGAGATCAGTCACCTCGGCTTGCTTTTCACTGGCCATGGCTACAAGAGCACGATACAGCTCTGTCTCTTTTTCCAAAGCATACCTCATGCGGCGAGGGGTTATTTGGATTTCACGAGCTTTGTCAAATGCACATAATATAAATCTACGAAGTATAGCACAATGAACCTGCAGAGAGACAGGACAAAGTAATGATGTAAGTACAGCCTGAGAGATAGTGCTGGCTTCAGCCAGAAGCAAGGATTCATACCTGATTCAAATGCATTGCTACAGTCACAAGGTGGGACCTCAGCACTCCTCTGACGAACAGATTTAAAACTTCAAGGTGATCCAACCCACTAACAAGGCAAGATTTTCGATTGAAACGTTCACCACGCAAACCATTTTTGGGGGTCGGGCCACATGCCTCTTCAGATGTCAGGAAGCCTTTGCACACAAAGTAACCAGGAAACAATTAAAACGATTTTCAAGGATTAGAACAATTTCCAATTTTATACAAGGAATTATTTCAAAAACTTACTTAAACTCTCAAGTTGCTGAGCTAACGCTTCTGTTTTAGAGTCCTTTCTCCATGGTCGACCGTCTTTCCTGTCTTTTGCCTCTTGTGTTCGTGGCGGAAGAGCACCCTGTTGATGCTGCAATTCGTGTTGTTCAGACTCAGTGAGCTCTAACGCCGTATCACTTGATGGAGCCACACTGCCTGAATCAACGGTTGCAGAGACCATCGTGAAAAATATGGGACTGTCAGGCAATAACTGCTTCAGCTCATGAAGCTCAGCTACATCCTGTAGTAAGAAAAGTCGGTTAGTTAAAATTTGGTTCAATCTTCACTATTATTATTATTATTATTATTATTATTATAGCATGTCACTTACGTTTTGGCTTAAAGAGGGTTGATCCATAGCATAGACCAACAAAGGTAAAACAGAGTCACACTGCAGCATGTGAGAGAGGCTAGCTCTCTCGTCTGGTTGTGCATGGTCCAAACTTGGAACAACCAAAATCGTTGTTCCATCTCGAACTATTGGGTGGCAAATTTGCACCTCCACAACAGCTAAGTGCTCCACAGCCATCTTCAAGATTAGATAAAACAAAGGAGAAAAGTTGTTAAGAAAAACAAAAGATATGTAGATAATGACAAGCTTTAAATTAGGTCAGCGGTTCTCAACCTTTTTTGGCTCGCAACCCCTGATTTGCAGCCAAAAATTTTCCGACCCATCACGAGCACCCCCTCCCTTCCCTACACTTCTGAGAAGGATTTTCCCGCTTGCTCACGGCGCATGCGGGCCTTCAAACATTCGTGCAGCGACAAACAGGCAGTGGGTTTTCCAGTTTCCGCGAATCTATGTTCCCGGCAGTGCTCGGCCTGCAGGCCAGCCGGGAAACCCCCGCGACCCAGACCCCAGGCGATCGCAGCCACCTCGCCGCGACTCCACAACATTTTACCGCGACCCCAAGGTTGAGAACCGCTGAATTAGGTCTAAACTAACATCTTCCTCAGAGGGCCGTAACAGATCTTCTTCTGGAACTGTGCTCCATGGCTTCTCATGAGCTTGAAGCTTTTCGACCACTTCAAACTCTAGTCCAACTGTAAGTGCGACATGACCTACTCGGCCAAATAGTATTCGTGCCCACCTACAAAAAATCATTATTATTTAGAAAACAGAAAGCAATAAAGGCAAAACATTAAAGTTCATAAAATGCTGCGATAAACATACCTCCAGTTTCCTCCAGAAGTTGGAAGTAAATTTGTTTCCAGTAGAGCATTCACAAAGTGTGCTCTAGCCTCACATGACTGACCCAATACTACCAGAACTGGACGACCCTCTAGAAAACGAGACAGTTGTTCCAGCTGATGGGTGGTTCCAACTTCCAACAACTCTTGCTCTACTTCCTCTGAAATTAATAGAAAAGAAATATTAGAGACAGATGCCAGCATAATTCACAGAAATTTAAATAAATGTTTGTCAAACCTCCTTGAAAAAATCCAGCATCATCAATTTCCTTCAAGGACCGACTTGTCTCACTCAAGATACGTCCCAGGAGTTGAGAGCTTCGCATGAATTTCCGAAACTCATGAGGGAGATTAGAAGCCATTGTAGAGGTAGCAGCTGAGAACACAAAATGAAATGTCTTAGAGACAGTATGGACATAGACGAACAAACCAAGCTGTAAATATGTGTCAGTTAACTGGAAAAAAATAAAAGAGAGCTCGTTTCAGAAAAAAACAACGTCTATAAATCAGAAGAATGGTGTCAGATAAGGAAAATTCATTGTCAAGTGAAACGGACCACATCAAAACATATGATTGATTCATCAATTTAAAAATGACAACAGTTGATTAATGGAGCTACAAGATTGACAGAATTAGGACATACAAGTAACAACTACTGGCCGACATCTTTCAAAGTTTTATTGGAAAGAAAGCTTAAAAAAACAACAACATACAGCCCAGGCTGCAAGCCCCACTAACATGTAAAAGACCAGAAACAATGGGCAAGAGAAAGCTTTTGAATATTCTGTCAAATACTCTGTGGCACATGGGGTCACGGTGTCAGATCAGAAGATCAAAGTCAAACGTCACTCCGAAACACTAGCAAGTGGTACAGACATGACATAGGCCACATCTGACAAGGGACGAAAGGCCTACAGTCCTGTAAACTAACCTTGACACTTTCTTTCTTGTCACATGCATTTATTTTCGCAATAACAATTAATTGGCAAAATACTCACCATAAGATTGTTCCTGAAAGAAGTCGGGCTTACATGGGGCTTTTCTCTTAACAATCGTAACGGCAAAAAAAATCTGACAGAATAAAAAGTTTCAAATGCAGACAGCGAACAAAACGAACGTATATACCATGGTATATACGCCTCGGTACCATCCCCTCCCCTTCCTCTCCTCCTTCCCCCCGTCCCTTGCCACCTCAACTCGCCCCACCACCAGAGTATAGTGTGTTTTTCTCGCGAAGGCGTTTTGCACATTTTACTTTCTTGCAAGGAAGTGCAAGTGCATTGTGCACTTGCTTCGTAGACTTTAGTTTAATTTCTGGCATCTTTCTAAGTAAGTGAATCGTGGAAGTACATGATTGATTTTAAACTTGGTCTGGGTTAGGTTACTTTGTTGTTCCCTGTATCAATGCCTTTTGGGACCCCAAAAAAGCTGGGTAGACATTTTCAGGATTGGGACTGACACCCTCTCAAGTAATTGCTAGTAGTTTTGCCTCCTTTCATTACCCACCCATTTATTCGTGAAGTCTTTGTCTTATGTCTGTGTGTTTTCTTTTTGAGTTGATCACGCAGCATTGCTTTGCCCTTTAAAAATGTTATTGCTTTCCAGGCTACATCATATCAGGGATCACAATTAAAATTTTGCAATGCCGAAGAAATTTGCTGGTGAGAATAGCAAAGCTGTAGCAGCCAAAGCTCGTAAGGAAGAGAAGAAAAAGGAAGAAGTTACCAAAAAGCAGAAAGCTGCCGAAGACGAATACTGGAGAGATGACGATAAAATAGCTGGTCGCAAAAATCAACGAAAGGTATGATCTCAGTTTGTATTACTGCATGCGGCTATACATTTAGTCCCATGATTAAATATGTATGCTCATATGTGTTTTGGGATTTTTATTGGTCCAGGAAGATCAAGAGAGAAAGAAGAATGAAGCCCTTCAGAAGAAAGCTGAGGCCAAGGCTCTCCTTGAACAAGAAATGAATTCCATTAAACTTAGCACAGCTGGGAAACAACCCCTGAGCAAAGTAACAAGATTACAAATTCAGGTAATGTTTTTCAAAGTGAAGGATGCACTAGAATGAAACATCTGGTTCAACTTCCAAGTGTCTCATGCCGTTGTTCTTGTCTTATTCAGATGGAAACTGAACGACGGGCTCAAGTCGCTCAGCCTACTAAACAAGAAATAGAAACTCATATTACTCAGCCTCTTCCTGAAAACATCAATAGGCTGCAAGTGGATGGAGAAGAAGCAAGAACAGTTGAGGAGGCCATTTCTGTGCTTAGGTGGGTTTCCCAATGTCTTTGCGAGACGAATTACTGATGTGTCCATGGTTGGTAAAATGTAACACTTCAATTTTTTTACAGTATAAAAGAGTCTGAATTGGATAAACATCCTGAAAAGCGTATGAAAGCAGCATTTGCAGCATTTGAAGAAGCAAACATGCCCAGGATCAAGGCTGAAAACCCAACCTTGCGACTGTCTCAGTTGAAACAAATTTTACGAAAGGAATGGATGAAGTCACCTGAAAACCCAGTAAACCAGAGACTAGCATAATTGTCTGTCTGAAACCATGTACATTTTGTTGTAATTTTAAGTTGCTTTTTGTGTGCTCAGTGGTTGTGATAACTTCTGTTTAACATTGGTGACACGCATGATGTGATATGGCTGAGGAGAAAATGTAAAAACTTTACAAAACACAATGAGTTTTGTGATGTTCTCTTATATATTTCAGCCTTTGTACAATACCTCACAGTGGTACAAAAACTCAGTTTTAAATTAATTGGCCTTCGAGTTAAGGAAAAAATTCATCAGTTTGTGATCTTTAAAAAAAGTCATTTTTGAAAATAATAACTGCAAGTGCATGCTAACAACTGTGAAGGAAAATAAAAGCTGATAAATTCTTACAGCAATCAAGATAAATATCTGTAAAAGCCTGAATGCTAACCTTTGCTCCTTCACATTCATTTCAACAGGACACAGACAACAAACAAAGTAAAAGAAGCCTTCCTCCTACAAATACAGTGGGGAAAACCAGAATAATTTGATTAACAAGCATGAAAACCACATAAAATCTTTGATTTTTCACAAAACAATAATAATATTACAAAACAAGATATTTTTTTTACGAAAAAAAGAGGTCAGGAAGTAATGAAAGGAGTAACTAGTGAAACTTGCTATAAATACAACATTTATGTTACAGACTTAACGCACCTCTACATCATGTTACACATAGCCCATGCATGCTGTAAGTCATATTATTGTAAACATGGCAAAAGCGACTATAGAACAGAAACACTAGTTATCTAAAATGTGTGAGGGACGGTTGGTTAGAGCAGTGCCAAACAGAGTACATGTCGATTTACAAGAAACAATAAGTGTGCATTGTGCCTACAGACTACTTTGGTTTTACTTCAAACAGATGCAAAATTAAAAATAGGAGGGCTCTTGGTCGTCCTATAACACGTAGTTGAAACAACAAGTGCTAGACAGGGCGTTGAAGGAAGAGGTATAGAACAAAGGTTCAACACATGATCACTTCCTGCATGACAAGGCATCCAAATAAATGATCAGTTTCAAAGAAACTCCAGAAATCAACACTGCTACTAGGTTGGCACTCAATGCAAAGGCAAAAACACAAAATGCACAAAGAAAATTCAAGTATCAAAATATGATAGAAGAGTGCCAAATTTCAAAGAATATTTAAATATTAGAATATAAAGTTATAAAAAGAAGAAAAAAAGCAGTTGAGTAGAATGAGGAGGGAGGTCTAAATATTAGGCTGTTTTGTTGGGAGCACCAACATTCACTCCCAAGAAAATAAATAAATTTCAAATCGATGAAACATTAATCTGTGGCAATGATAATGCAAAATCATGAAAGGTTGAGCAAAATATAAATGATGATAGTCTGCGAAGTAAATATCACAAGATTTACAAACAAATTTGTAAACTAGAAAATTTTCAACTTTACAAATAGCACATGAGGGTGAAACACGTATACAGTCTTCATGCAATATTTCTGTTTCCAAGCAGTAGAGAAGAAAGATGCTAGGCTGTTTAAAAAAACACAACTGAAATCGCAATGCCATCACTTTACAAAAATCAGGAAAGTAGTTGTCACCTAAGGCAGGTAGCCACATAAATATACAGAAAATAGTCCCGGATTCTTGGAGCCCATGGGTTGATGATTTTTCTACGCATCCTTCAATTCAGGTTAAGAGCTGTAATTCATTATGACACCAAAAGTCTTTAAGTAAATGGGACATAGGGAAACAGGAGGAAGCAGGACACAGCATTTCAAGAACACAAGAAAAATGCCCCAAGAGTCTACATAATTTGGTATGGTTAATGGCAGGTAAAATAAATTACTAATATACCACAAAATGGCACTCCAAAAAGTGCATAAAAACTCGATATATATAGCAATCAAATCACCATTGTGAACAAGTCACCATGAACACAGAGCACAAATATTCACAAGCTCATGACACAGGAAAGTACCAATAGAATAATTCAGTCCTAGACCGGGACATTTCCTGATGTTTTATCACACTTTAAGATGCCAAAGAGGCTTAGTTAACAGCAGTCAGCACAATTCTACAGTTTATCACAACATGCCAAAGCCTTTGGAATAGTTTATGGCCTTTTCTAATCGGTCAATCAGCTTCTCTTTGCTTTCATACTCCGGCAAAAGTAAGACATTGAAACATGTGTGTGCAGTAGGTAACCTGAAATTGAAGGGGACACATGTTACCAATGAAACAATAAATAAAGAATCACCTCTAAAAAACATAGTCAAATATATTCACCTATCTGAATCGGGTCCATTTCTTGATATGATCAATTTTAACTTGGACAGACCACCAACAGGAACTCTGTCACTACCAGTAGTGAACTGCAGCAACTTTCTTTTGCTTTCCAGCGGCATTCTGTGCACAATTTCCCAAAATTGTTGTATGACTGGAGATGAGGCTGTGTAACCACCATCATATTCAGTTGCTTCCTCAAGTTCATTAAAGTCGAAGTTCTGGAAAATTTAAATTTAAATGAAAGAGGGTCTAAAAAATGCAGTTCATCATCTGCTGAGTGTTAGTGTATATTCGCACCTTGCTGCCACACACAAGCTGTTCTATCTCTTCAGGCCTAAACAGCAAATGTAAGGGCGATTCATCGGTCACCATATGGAAACCCCTTCGGAAAGCTCTGAACTGTTTCTCAACAGACTTGTTAAGTAAGAAGTCAGCATACAGATCAACAAACTCCTAAAGACAAGAGAGGGAAAAGTAAAATTAACAGAGTTTTAAAAGTTAACTTTTTTTTATCTTGTAAAGATATTAAGAGAAATAACTTGCCCGCCTGTTTTGTTTGTTAACTGAGATATGTTCACCACCTTCCTTAAGGTCATGATGCAATACTGAACCAAAAACATCTTGATAACACACTCTAAAAGTCTGTGAAAATGTTTCCTCCATATCATCCCCTTCATACTCCAACAACTCATTTAATCCTTTGTACAGGGTCTGGAAAAGAAAAGTTTCAAACAAAGTTATGCAAACATCTACAGAATAAAATAATTTTTTTCGACTTAAAAATTGTTTAGATATTGATACTTACATTATTCCAGTCTTCTAAGTCATAAAAAGTAGATTTTTTCCCCATAAGTTTTTTGTACACTACCATAGGAAAGTGAACATCTAGTATCACATTATTATAGATAGCTAAACCAAGAACAACACCAATGAGGGAGAACTGCGCATCACTTTCAAATGATGTTGGATTAAACCAAACCGTTTGGGTTTCTTGGTTAAATGTAAACATTCCTAAAAGAAAAAATAAGAAAGATCATGAAAAGAAAAAATTACAAGGATCAAGCACAATTGATAATGAAACTTTTGGATGGCACATACCATAGTCAGGATTGAAAATCTCCTCAACAATCAGCTGGAAGAATTCTTTGGAAACACCACCCTCATCGATACCTTGTTCCCCTTCAAACTCAACGACAAGCTGCTTTTTAAGATCTTTGGGATTTTCCATAGCCACCATTTCAAGCTGGAAAAAAAATAAACAAACAATAGGTTTTGTTCTAGTTTTCCTTTAACACTGGTATGAAGTAATTTGTGTATAGCTTACTTCGACCAGAGCATCATCGATAATGTGATCTCGTCTGACTTTCAGCCTCAGAAATGGATTAACCGGCTGACCAGTGAAAGAGTGGTAAATACTCATTCTTCTTTCACTGTACATTCTGATCCTATTATCATAATACAAGCCCAGAGTTTTAGTTGCTGGAGTTAAAATAAAAGAGTACCACATGAAACTGAATTTAGCTCCTGGACAGTGGGTGTGAGATGGATGAAAGCCATCACTTTCACTCTTAAAATGAGCAAAATCCTTGTCCATTTCCACTGCCTCACTGAGTGGCTCATTGTAAAAGTCAGTAAATGGTATAAAAGGCTTCCTGCTATCCAGTACATTTATCTGTGGAAAAAAATCAGTTGCAATGGTAATCTAATAATGCATGTGTCAATTTAAAAAGAGTTTAGGCCTCCTGTTCTGCACATACCTGCAATTCCTTAGCAAGTGGGTCTTCATACTGAGTTAAGGGTGAAGTTTTACTTCCAGAATAACCAACCCCTAAAAGAGGGTCATCTGTTAATATTGCAGGGTCCTCATTCCTCAATTCAGGAGGATCCAGTTCTCCAGCCAAAATACTAGCATAATACAAGATCTGTAAAGCAAAGCGCCAAAGTAAACCAAGGGTCAGAATCAAAAACAACACATGAAATAAGCATCAAAAAGTAAAAAGACACTTTTAATACCTTCATAAGTTTTGTAGGTGCAACAATAGTCTCCTCATCTTGAACAGAGTGATCACGGGAGAAAGTACTTGAGATTACTTTCAGCGTAATAAGCTGTTGAAGTGAAACCAAAAGTTCTTTCAGGCGTCCTTTGCAATGTTTTGCCCAGATACGAGCTAGTCTACCTTGGGTGTACACAGGCATTTTGACCACTTCTTTACAAATCTGGAACCGGCATATATGTTATGTTAAGATCTTAAGATATTGGCTTTAAAACATCATTCTTCAATAAAGCAGCCACTTACAGCTGGAAGAGCAACTTCAAGATACTCAGAGGTTCCCAAGACAGGCAGCTCCAAAACAATGACAAAACAGTGGAGTCTAGCACCCTCACACATACTAGCTGGTGCAAACTGACGTGAGATTTCCATGCTGGCAGCCAATGTCGTGAGAGCGAGAACAAGAACACTTTCTAAAATAGATCCAGGAACCTAGTGGTAGAAAATAAGAAAGTAAAAATCAGTGTCAAATCAAGACACGAAGAGTGACTAAACCTCAAATTATCCCATAATAAAAATAAATTCACTAACTTGATCAAATAAAGCCGCATATGCTCTTCTCAAAGCTGGCAGATCTACATAGGTGTCCCATACTCCAATATCTGCACCCATTGGTCTTGAACAGTGACCTAGTGCCATAGCTGTTTGAGCTCGCATTGCCTCTTCTTGACAGTCTTCATCCTTATCTTGATCACCTTCCAATGTTCGAACATCTTCCTTCTTTAAAAGGCGAAGATCACCCGGAGGAGCCTTGTCCAAAAGTGCCTCTGCAAGAATAGAACAAACGAAGTGTTAAAAAGAATTGAACTGGTGAGAATGAAGAGTGAACTCTGATCAAAATGCAGAAAGCGGTTGGACTTACCCAAAGGAGATTCAGGGATCCGCTTGACAAAGCTATGAAAAAGGGAGTCTGCATTGGAAAATACTTCTCCTAAAGTTCTGATTAGAAGTGAGTATGAGCTCTCTTTCTTGCAGGTTTCCAAAATTTTTAATAGCTTTTCTTCAGTTATGTATGGCACAGGTTTGTCTGCACAAAACAATACAATAAATGAAATCCGGTGTTAGGATAAGATGATTAATACAGATAAAAGAAAAGGGTTACCTTCATGTAGTGATGAAACTTCAAACTTGGGCACCCCTGAGTGACCCGGTGTGGCTGATGGCGTGCTATGAGAAGTGCTGGAGCACTGAGATGCGTCTTCAGTCGTTGATCTGACTTGGCCATCAACTGCATCACTGTCAGATGTTCGGGCCACTTTGGAAGGCTGGGCATCGCAAAGCCGAGCTTCTTGGGAAAATAGTTGTATAGCTTGGGCGGCAGCTTGATTTGGGGTCAATGCCTTTGACTGAAATAAAATCACAGGGGTCAACAAAGATGTCAAAAACTATCAAATATTGAGTTTTTATAAACAATCATATGCTTATGATACCTTTCCACTGGATGCACAGTGTACATTATCACAGTTGGCATTTCCACACCCATCAAGTAATTGATAGAAATATCTTTCAATAAGCTTTTTGGCTGCTGCTCGTTTCATAGTGTCAGATTCTTCAGTGAAGGCCACTGATTTACTTGAAGATTGGCTTCCATATGACGACGTAACACCAGAGGAACTGCAAATACATAACAGGGCCTTGAAATGTTGTCACATGAGAGTGATTTAAATTAAAATATATATTATAAAAATAAAATGAATGGCACTTTGAATGAAACAGTGCAAGTCACAAACAGCAACATTTATCTGGCATTGAGGAATCCTCTAGAATTCTTAGCGAGAGAAGAATTTGCGAAAATAGTCTCACAGACGTGAAGGACTGTTAAAACGTGCAGCCGGGCACCGTTGGATGTTAGAAAGCGGAAAATGCAGAATCAAAACACAGGAACAAGAATCTAGGTTTGAGGTTATATTGACATTACTTGCAACATGATGCAGCCCGTGCAGCGCGTGTCAAATACTCTGTCAGTTGCTCACATACTCACGAAACGTTACAAATGACTTGGACGAAGCGACAAGAGCCGAACCCGGCAAGCGAAAGGCCTCAACAGAACACAAACAAATACCCCAACATCACAGTCAGCACCATGACAAGACTCACCTTGGAGTTTCGTCGCCACCCGATCTCGAATTTTCTTCCTTAGAGCTCATAGAATAAACTAAATAGACAACTTTGCTACAATTTCAATGGTTTATCAGGTCACTTGATGGCGGGCACAAAATCCCGAATAATCCTTTCCTATATTTTCTATTTTTGCTAATAAAGAGAAAGAAAAACAACGAGCTTTCAACAAAGTTATCGCTATCGATTTGTTTCACGGCCTTGTTGAAGTTGAGCGGAACGAAACAACACAGCGGCCGAAGCCCGTCGTTGTACCAACCTCGCAAAAAAAGACCACGACTTGAAAGCCCGACCCTTCGAGCGCGTGTAGTCCTTTCTCAAAAATCTAGTTTAAAGCCATCTTAAAGAGCAAAAAATTAGAACTTGAGGGTTTAACCATGGCCAAATACACGACGTCGTATCAACCATTTTCGGACTGTGAGTTGCCGTCCTGCAGAGCGCCTAGATATTTTTGGCACAAACTGCGCCGTTGGTCGCGCCTCGCGCGGTCTCGGCGATGTGAGGCGATCTATCCAAATCGTTCGGAAATCAATTCGGCTATCACGCATAATTCACAGGAACGCTGTATTTCTCTCTTACATTCCTTTAGTCCCGAACATCATGTACTGCTATGGATCTAGTATTTGAGCCCCAAGGTTATTTTTGTCCAGACTTGTCTCGCTTCGTTTCCTCCAGCGACGCTTCCCTGTCCGGACACTGGAGCGTGAGCGTGGTGAGCGTGATCATGCGTGGGCGTGATGAGGGAGCGTGAGCGTGGGGGGCGGCGCGGGGCGGCGCGCTGCTGCGCTAGGGATGGAAAGCTGAAATGAAAGTCCGGATATCTGCAAAGCGGTCAGATTTGAAAGTAATATCCGGTCTTAACCTATCCGGTTATCCGAGGTCGAAATCCGGATAATAGGCGGATATCGGTAAAATATCGTCTTTTTCCCTTATTTTTTTCGAAATCAAGTATCCGGTCGCAACCTATCCGGATATTAGAAGGCTGCATCCGGATAACCGGATTATCCGGACGCGGTCTTTCCATCCCTATGCTGCGCTGCGAGCCGAGCGGCCGAGCTCAGCCGAGTCCAGTCGAGCGGCGCCGAGCCGAGCCGAGCGCGCGGAGCAGAAAGCAGAAGCCCGACTGGCTGGCTGACTGCTCAGTCTGTCCGGACTCGGCACTCGCTCGGGACGTCGCTTGGTGCGCTTCGTGGCGCTGCGTGTCGCGCTGGCCTCCGTCGGCCTGGTGTTGAGCGAGATAAGCCCCTCTGCGGTTCAGTGCGACCGTCCTCGTGTGCAGTGCTATGTGCCCCTTTCCCCGGCGTGCAGCTCCGGGTTGAAAATCGCCTGACCGCCAAGCGGGTGGCTATTGATCCGGCGGGCGCCGCCAGCTCGAAGCGCCCAGGGCCAAGGCCTGAAGGGCTTTTGCTGCTTTCGCTCCAGCGACTGGCCAGGACCTCCAGCCGCTCTCCTGCACCGCCAAAATGACGATCCTGCTGTACGCGGGCGTGGGCCTGGGCATCGCGGTGCCCGTGGTGTTCGCGCTGAGCAGGACCGTGCGGTACTACGCCAAGCTGACGGGGTGGTACCTGGGCATCACCGTCACCGGGCTGCTCTTCATCCCCTTCATGGCGCTGCGGCCGCGCCACCCACGGAACTTAGTGTAAGGGTCGCGGGTTCGATACCCGCCGCGCTGCGCGTCCTGTTTCGTGTTTTGCCCCACTTTTTGCCCCAGTGCGCGAGCTGCGCGAGGCGGGTACCTCGACCGCCGCTTGGGCCGCCACTACACTGCTTTACTACGATCAGCTGGTGGGGCCGGAGCAGGTTCGCAGGGTGTCCTGCCCGGCAGCTAAGTGGCTGGCAGGCTGGCCCACTGTCTGCTGGAGCCAGGACTACGTCCAGGACTGGTGTTTACATTGAGGCCATAACCTCTCCGACACGGCGTAGACCGTGTCCCTGGAGCGCTCATTGATCCAAATTCGTCGGTTCGCGCCTAGTTTTTTGCGCAGTTCGCCTAGACCCTGGGTGTTATGACTACGCCTTGCGAGCCGGAAATTTTGCCCGACCCTCTCCTTTTTTTGCTGTGCTAATGCAATGCAATCTGACAGCTATCGACCGCACCGCGCCCAATTCCGAGTTTCCTTTTTTTGTGCAGACTGTTGACCCCAGCTGACATAACCTCAAAGTTAATCCTATGCAAGAGCGCAAATGTGAATACGCTTGAGCGCAAAGTCGCAAGGCCCTCTTTAAAATTTTAATTTGCCTCCGAGTATTATTTGGAGAACTAAATTTGAATCGAAAGGTCGAGAGGAAACGATTTTGTGCAGTAGGGAGATGCTGCAGGTATTGCCCTTGTCCCTTTTAGAGCCTGACAAGCCTGACAAGGGTGAGGAGTGCCAAACTCAGTTAAATTTCTTTACTGAACTGCAATTTAATACTGATCAATGTTTTCTTAAATTTTGTCTTAATGTCATTCAGCTCCATTTTATTTATTCATTTTCGTTAAAGTTTTGAATACGTAGCAACTCGTCCTACGGATTAGGAGCAATGACAGCCCCTCGTCTAATCGCTGTGGATACGCAAACAGTGCGTTATCGACGCTGTGACGAACTCGGAACTCGACGGGTTTGTCGTCGTCGTCCCTTCTTCTTGCCCTTCCCCTTCTCGTTCATCCGTCCCGTCGGTTGACTTTGAGAAGCCCAGCCAGCAGTCGTTTTTGTCGCCCTGTCTCTCTCGCACTCATGGGGCGTGCCGTATAGGTGCGAGAGAGACAGGGCGACGAAACCGACTCTGCTGAGCCTGAGGCGGCCGGGGTCAATGCTCGACCGGGGAGCCTCTGCCTCGCCTGCGGAAGCCTGCGAAGCAAGCAGACTCATTTCGAAGAGGCGCTTGGTCTCTGTCGCACAGTGGGCCAGAAGACTAGTGGAGGCGGCCAAAACTCTAGACGCGTTTTGAGCTCCAGACTCGCTAAGTGGGGCTCGAACCGAACGTGTGACCCCACCAATGGACTGCTCTCCGAACGAGGAATCCATTGGTGGGGTCACACGCACGATTCGAGTCCTGCTTAGCGACACGAGCTCAGAACACGTCCGGGGTTTTGACCGCCTCCGCCGGTCTTCTGGCAAATCCCACTGTGCTTCGGGGTGAACGGCAAGAACTGGAGGGAGCAGCGGCCTTCCCGGGCCGGTCGGCCGGTCACTCCCTGCGACAAGGACAGGACGAGGTCGTGGGGGCTTCGGACGCCCCCGGGGGGCACGACGGGGATCAAGTTTGAGCGGCCGTCCGGCGAGGGGGACGAACCGAACGTACTCATGCCCAACCTCAACGAACCTGCGCGTGGAGTGTTGACCCTGCGAGAAAACGAGTACGACGGTCGAATTTGAATCAGTGTTGCCACACAAGTAGGCGAAAGTTCCCACGATGCACCTGTTCCAGCGCTTGATTTGCGAATCCGGAAGGGAAGCCCTCCCCCCTGTCCCCCGCCCCTCCCGCCAGGCACTGTCCGCGACGTCGCAGCGACTGTGTCGAGGAGCCAATTGGAGCAGCCGGCAGTGGAGCCACTTAGGTGCAGCGTTTGCCGCTTATAGACGCTTCCAAACGGAAGAACGCGGTTCTAAAATAAAACTGATCCTCACTGCACTCGTCAGTGCCAACGACACCTGTGGAGTCAGCCAGGCACAGCTTGTGCGCCCCTCTTTTTCCTTCACTTTCAGTCCGAAGCAGTTTCGACTTTTTGACGGTTGTTGTACCTGGAGTGTTGAGACATCTTCCAAATTGGTGCTTTGTGTCCGCACGGCTTGACGAAGTGTTGCCACTAATGCCCTTCCGGTGGGCTGCTTTGTCTCGGGTGCATGTCACCGGCTGGGTTATTCATGAACCGCGCGGTTTCCCGGAAAGAGCGAGCGTCGCTTCGACTCTCTCGCACTCACTCACATGTGAGGGAGACAGCAATCTTACGCGACCATTGACGGGACGGCATCGCATAGCGCGGGAGGAACTGGTTCCTCTACACTGGATCATCCACTTATCCGATCGTTGGTCGCGCCGTCTCTCTCTCACTCACGCCGCGTCCCGTCGTGTCGTGTGCGAAGTGAAAGAAGCTAGACGGGGGGGCAAAAAGCGCAAAACGCGACGAAAGTTTGGTACAGTAGCGCGTGTGTGATTTGCCTAAGGACCGGCCGGGCCTCGCCGCCACGGTCAAGGTCGTGGAGGTGAACGACGGGCCGCCAGGTTTCCATCGCGGTGAATGATTAACCCTTTTTTGTCTCGTTTGTCTTTTTGCAGAGCCTGGAGCGCCATCTGCAAGCACTTCGACTGGATCGTGGGCGTCAGGTACAACATTCGCGGCCTGCACAACCTGGAGAACCTGGGCGCGTGTGTCATCGTGGCGAACCACCAGCATGCCATTGACGGCACAGGTGCGTGCCTGTTTTTATTTTAAAATTTTTGAAAAAGTTTCAGAAAAATTAAAAATTTTACTTGTCAGCGTTGATTAAAAACAAGTCATTTTTCAAATCCCTTAAAAAATTTAAAAGTAAAAAAACTTTTTTAAACAAGATCAAATTTTTTAATTTTTTTAAATAAAATTTTATGTTTTTCCAAATTTTAATTGTTTTATCATTTAAAAAAATTTTGTTTCTGAAAATTTTGAAATTTTGGTTCTTTTGGAAGTGGTTGAAATGATTGGGTGTTGCAGGGATGAACAAATTGTGGGGCGCGCTCAAGAGATGCACGATCGTGTCCAAGAAGGAGGTGCTGTACGCCGGGCCCTTCGGCCTGGGCCTCTGGCTGGGCGGCGTCATCTTCATCGACCGACTCAACTCGGAGAAGTCCCGCGAGGCCATCAACAAAGTGTCCGGCAAGCTGAAGCGCGATGACGTGAGTACACCAATAAGTCACCGAGCAATGCAGACGAGCCCGTTCGAATCAGTTCGAATTTACATGAGCCAGCCGCGCGGTTTAAATTTTAAACTAGGGGCGCTCAGCACGCGACCATCCCGGGTCCTATGATGGATGAAAGTCAGTCTGCACTTCCCGAAGTGCTCGTAGCCGTAGGAAAAAGCTATTGACGCCTGATTGTGAAAAAGACCATAGAAATGCTGGCATGCCATCATATGGCATTCATGAGGACATGAGGAGATGTGTTTTGTTAGGGGCTCTTCTGGGCCGCTAGGGGGGCGGGTGGCGTGATCGTCCGTCGGCCAGTTCGGTACGGACTCAGCCGATTAATTCATGACGTATCTCCGTCGAAGACGGTGCACAGTGGGCCAGAAGACCGGCGCTGGCGGCCAAAACTCTACACGCGATTTGAGCCCCAGAGTCGCTGAAAAGGATTCGAACCGAACGTGTGACCCCACCAATGGATTCCTCGTTCGGAGAGCAATCCATTGGTGGGGTCACACGTTCGGTTCGAGTGCTTTTCAGCTACTCTGGAGCTCAAAACGCGTCTAAAATTTTGACCGCCTCCTCCGGTCCTCTGGCCCCCACTGCGCGGCGGGCTGCATTCCAAGCACGTGCACGGCGTGGTGCGGCGGGCAGTTGGACTTGAGACGGGCGGCGCGGGGCAGTGCGATTACTTGGCCATGCATGATGCGGTCCGGTAGTCCCGGCCGTCCCGACGTGGGCCGTCATCACGCGATTCGAGATATCGAACGAGCGCAGCGCGCGTAGCCGTGGCGTGGCGCGCAGGCACGGCAAGCACGCGAGCAGAGAGTGGCGCTAACTAGCGACTGTGCCTGCCGCCGTACTTGACCCGACCCGGCACTGTACGTTTAATTTGCATTCTGTATGCTGGACGGTGGGCGATGGAACAAATTGGCTTGGGAAAAAAAACGCTGAGGAGCGGCTGGCTGTCCAAGGTGCCAAGTGGCGTCGTGCACACGCGAGCCGGCCAGCGACGCTTGCCGCGCTCGCGTGTTGGATTTGTCAAGATGTTTAGTGAAAGTCAACAACGGGGGCCATAGCCTCGCCGATTGGGGGGCAAATATTGAACGAGCGACCCCGCCTGCTGCGCCTCGGCTGCGTCGAACACGGACTAACAGCATTCTCTTCTCTCCGTTCCAGCTCAAGCTGTGGATGTTCCCTGAGGGCACCCGCCGCAACACGGGGGAGATCCACTCCTTCAAGAAGGGCGCCTTCCACGTGGCCATCGGCGGCCAGATCCCCATCCTGCCCATCGTGTACTCGCAGTACTACTTCATGGACGAGAAGCAGCGCAAGTTTGACAACGGTGGGTTCCTCATTATTTTTTCAGGGCACTCTCCGTACCGCTTTAGGATGTAAATTGAGCCAAATTATCGTGGTCTAAAATTTTAAAACTGTAGTGTTCTAAAATTTGAGTCAATTATAATTTCACTGGATTCACCATTTCTCATTCTTGTGGTAATGAAGATCTATGATAACTTAAGTTTCAGTCAAATTTTAACGTTTTGGCACTCTTGTTTTTTACAGGCAACATCATTATCTCGGTGATGCCGCCGATTTCGACGGAGGGCATGTCTGTGTCAGACGTGAACGATCTCATGGATCAAAGCCACAAGCTGATGAGCGAAGAGTTCTCTCGCATCAGCGCCGCCGCACAGGAAGGGAAGAACCTAAACTGAATTGACTTTTTCTATTTTGTGTGTGTGCGTGTGTGTGTGTGCGTGTGTGTTGTTGTTTATTGAGTCACTCCAAGTTGTTGTTGTTGTTTTGATTTTGTTGAAGAACCTCTAATGACGGACATTGTGACAAAAAGTGAAAGTGTTGTAGTCGTGCTGTGCATCCTACTGCATCGATTCTTCTTTTAATTAACTACTATTATTGATAAAGACTGTAGGTGTTGCTGTACTTCGTTTTTAAGAATCATGAAGCCTTTTGGCGGACAATTGCCATTTTTTTTTCTCCCTCTTTATTATTACTATTGTAATTTTCACTGCGCCTTTTATGATACATACTTGTAAATTAGATACTATGCGACTAGTCTAGACTTAGATATACAAATGTGCTTTCCTTTTCTTAATAAATGGAGATCAAAAAACAAACGAGTTGCCAATTAGTTGACGACGGCAGTGTGTTGCTTCCGGCACATTTTAAAACCGACGCTTTGGTCAAGCTGTGGGAACGGACCTCCCGAAATGCCACTGGAGTATCTGAAATGCGATGGCACAGTCAGAGTGTTTGTACAAGTCGACTAGCGATCGCCGCCTAGACCGACTGCTTTTGCGGCAGGTGCTTTTGCTTTCTCGCAACCACGGCGCAGGCGCAGCGCCGCCTTGCGACACGCGTGCGGCGGAGCGGCTCGGCGCCGCGTCGCTCTGTCTCTCTCGCACCCGTGAGGCACCGTGCGGGACGCCCCGCGAGTGCGAGCGAGACGGAGCGACGAGGACGCCGTTCGGACTCGGCCTGCAGCCTCGTTTCCAAGCCGCCGTCTCTGCCACCATTACGGGCCATCACGCGCAATCCAGCGGGCCGCTTCTCCGTCTCTCTCGCACTCACGGCGCGCCCCTTACAGTGCGAGGCCGTGGTGGAAAGGCGTCCTGGGGTGCGCTCCAAGTTCGAAGGCAGTGGGCCGATCACCTGTTCGAGTGCACTACATACGAACGAGAGCGTCACAGCGCAAGTCACAGCGTCCTCAAAGGCAAAACACTCGAATCGAAGAGCGGTCCTCAATACGGCCCGAGTGGCGTGAGGTGAGCGCCTGCCGGCGCCGGGGTAGGCAATGCGCCGTGCACGCGCGCTCGACGGGACGGCCTGCGCTGCAGGGGCTCCCGGCTCCAGAGAAGTGCCTTTTGAGCGCGCCCTCTCATCTCCTCCTTCACCACATGATGCTCTGGTTGCTCCACGCGGACTTGTCGGCGGCCTGCTGCTGGGCCGTCGGCGTCCCCGTGTCCCCGGCGTCGTCCGCGCTGGCGGGGCCGTTGTCGGCGGCGGGCGCGACGCGGCGCTGGTACAGGGTGCGGGTGCGCTTGCGCGGCGCGCTGTAGTGCACCTCGCCGACGTAGAAGCCCTGCGACAGCGGGTTGCGGTTGGCCGTGCCCGCGCCGCCAGGGCCGCTGGGCTTGCGGCCGCGGTGCCCGTAGCTGTCCACCATCCTGCCGCCGAACGGCGTGCGCGCGCGGAGGCTGGCGTCGCCCAGCGTCTGCATGGACGGGATGACCGCCACGGGCCGCGCCGAGGACCGCGTCGGCGTGGCGGGGCCGGCCAGCGTGCGGGCGGGGCGAGCGGTCTGCAGGGCCAAGAAGCGGATTGGATGAGGACCAAGTGCAACACAGGCAGAGTGACGTCATGACGAAGGGAGCCGGTACCCGGTGTACATCGTTTGTCCGACCGACGTTTGTCCGACCTGCCAAAATTTGTCCGACCTCCTTTGCCCTTAAATTTTTTTCCGATCGACGTTTGTCCGACCGACGTTTGTCCGATCACTTTTCAGGAAAGAGGGAGGGGAAGAGTAGAAATATTCCACGACGTCAGTGACAGATTGGTCGTCAGGATGGACAAAGGGGGCGGCCACGGTGCACATCATTTGTCCGACCTTTGTACGACCTGTCCAAATTTCACTTGCCCGTGAATCGGCTGAAAATTTTGTCCGACCTCCGTTTTGTCCGACCCACTTACACCGCCACTCGGTCAGGCTGCAGCTAGAGAGCAACTCGGCGGCGCTCAATTGATCTAAACACCCGCGGCTCACTCTCTATGTCAATCAAGACTGGATGCAGGACAATCCAAAGACATTTTAACACAAAATGTATTCAGAGTAACAGAAGTAAAATCAACACTATAAAGAAAATTTCAGCGAAAGAGGGCACCCCGGCGAACCGGCCCTCTTCCCCGCTGGCTTGGTGAGCCAGTGGTTCCCCCATCTCATCACAGGAGCAACCTCAGAGTTAAACCGCAGTGGCCCCGTCATTGGTCACGTCATCTGTGATGTGGAGGAGTCCTCTCATAGTAGGCCAGGCTGCCACCTTTCCCAGTAGTCGGGTTTCGTTCCCGGCCCCCTTCCCACTCAGGGGCCATGCTACTGGTACTCAGGAGTCTGCGTCACCCTGCCCAGCAGCGGAACCACTGGGCTATGAGAGGCACACTGGACGCCGGCCGATTTTGTATACTTGAACCGCCTTCTTGCGATGCAAGTTTGGTCAAAATATTCGATATCGTACTAGGTATCGAACCCCGGACCCCGCAGTTGCGAACCGACGCCTCTGCGCTCTCGGCCACCGAGGCCCATGTGTGACACTGTGCGAAGGGGAGCCTTTGAAGCCGCTGGTCCGAACCGTATAGTCAGACAAAAAGAGCGGGACGCGGGTATTCGATCGCTCGATCCGCGTGTAGGATTGAAACATCTCTACACGTTCGGCCACCGCGGCTCACCGGGGGAGCCGAGTGGCGCGACGGATCCAAACCGGATCGGAAAGCCACTCCCAAAATGTAAAGAATTGTTGGGAGTCGAACCCTAGCTAGCGATGCAAGCTTTGGTCAAAATATTCGCTACTGTACTGGGTATCGAACCCCCGATCCCGCAGGAACCGCCGCCTCTGCGCTCTCGGCCACCGAGGCCCATGTGTGACGATGTGCGAAGGAGAGCCTTTGAAGCCGCTGGTCCGAACCGTGTAGTCAGACAAAAAAAAGTGGAATGCTGGTATACGATCGCTCGATCCGCGTGTAGGATTGAAACATCTCTACACGTTCGGCCACCGCGGCTCACCGGGGGAGCGGTGTGGCGCAACGGGTCCAAACCGCTTCGGAAAAGCCACTCCTATAATGTAAAGAATTGCTGGGAGTCGAACCCTAGCCCCTGCGCGTGATCATGATTTCCTCGGGATGCCACAGTGTGGAGCCAACAGTGGGACCCTATGTGACTCACGTTCCAGAATCAGTGGCGGCTGAGCGCGCAGAGGCGTCGACCCGCACCTGCAGGGGCTAGGGTTCGACTCCCGACAATTCTTTACATTTTGGGAGTGACTTTCCGATCCGGTTTGGATCCGTCGCGCCACTCGGCTCCCCAGGTGAGCCGCGGTGGCCGAACGTGTAGAGATATTTCAATCCTACACGCGGATCGAGCGATCGAATACCAGCGTCCCGCTCTTTTTGTCTGACTATACGGTTCGGACCAGCGGCTTCAAAGGCTCCCCTTCGCACAGCGTCACACATGGGCCTCGGTGGCCGAGAGCGCAGAGGCGTCGGTTCGCAACTGCGGGATCCGGGGTTTGATACCTAGTACGATATCGAATATTTTGACCAAGCTTGCATCGCAAGAAGGCGGTTCAAGTATACAAAATCGGCCGGCGTCCAGTGTGCCTCTCATAGCCCAGTGGTTCCGCTGCTGGGCAGGGTGACGCAGACTCCTGAGTACCAGTAGCATGGCCCCTGAGTGGGAAGGGGGCCGGGAACGAAACCCGACTACTGGGAAAGGTGGCAGCCTGGCCTACTATGAGAGGACTCCTCCACATCACAGATGACGTGACCAATGACGGGGCCACTGCGGTTTAACTCTGAGGTTGCTCCTGTGATGAGATGGGGGAACCACTGGTCCACCAAGCCAGCGGGGAAGAGGGCCGGTTCGCCGGGGTGCCCTCTTTCGCTGAAATTTTCTTTATAGTGTTGATTTTACTTGTCCATCCTGACGACCAATCAGTCACTGACGTCGTGGAATATTTCCACTCTCCCCCTCCCTCTTCCCTGAAAAGTGATCGGACTAACGTCGATCGGACAAACGTCGGTCGGACAAACGTCGGTCGGACAAAAATTTAAGGGAAAAGGAGGTCGGACAAATTTCGGCAGGTCGGACAAACGTCGGTCGGACAAACGATGTAGACCCGACGTACCCCGAAGTTGGCGGGCTGCTGTCCTCCACGCGCGTTGCGGGCGATGCTGCGGAGGACGCTCCCCGGCGGCGGGTACAGGTGGTCGGTCACCAGCGTTTCCCCCATGCTGCGGTTGCGGCTGTGCTGGCTGTGCTGCGGCCCCGGCGCCGTGCCCTGCGGCGAGGCCGGCGAGGCCACCACGACCACCCCGTCGGCGGGCAGGGGCGGCCGCGGCGGCGCGGGGCGCGGGGGCGTCTGGGCCTGGAGCGCTGCTGGCGGCTGGGGCGCGGGCCGGCGGGCGGGGCGCGGCGGCGGCGCGGGGGCGGGGCCCCGGCGGCTGCCTCGGCTGCTCCTGCTGGGCCCCGGTTTGGCCGGAGCCTCTCTCAGAATCACCCTGCCGAGACAGATCCACGTTACTCCACTCCACCGTGCGACAAACGCCTCGACTTCTCAAGTCGTCTGCTCACTCTTTTGCAGCCGCCGGGGGCCATCTTCACGCCACCTCCTGCAGCAGCTGTCTCTCTCGCTCGGCGTGCTGTCTCCGTCGACTCCGGTTCGTGCCTGACGGCCCCACTGCCGATCCGGTGGCCGGGCTGGCCGGGGGCTGGGCCTCCCCCTGGGGGCCCTGGGGCCGTGCCTCCCCTTGCGGCCGGTGGGGCTGCGGGGGCTCGCCGTCGGCCTGCTTGGGCGCCGCGTCCGGCTTGGGCCTGCAAGACGGCGGCGTTCACGACCTGTTGTCGGCTGTCTGGGCTTCGAACCGACCGTGTGACCCCACCAATAGACTGCTCTCCGAACGAGGAATCCATTGGTGGGGTCACACGGCCGGCCCGAGTCCTGTTCAGCGACTCTGGAGCTCAAAACGCGTCTGGAGTTTCGGCCGCCTGCGCCGGTCTTCTGGCCCACCTGGTGCTGGCGCGCTTGCCGTGGTAAGCCAGCGCCTGCTGGTAGGGGCTCGCCCGCAGCTCCTCCATGTACTGGTACGGGCTGGGCTCCAGCGCCATGGACGTCCTCGTCATGGTGTCCGCGTAGCCCTGGCCGCCAGGCGTGTAGCACGACTGGTAAAACTTCTGCAGGTCGCAGTTGCACATGTCGTACGGTAGCGTGGTCGGCTTAGGCGGAGGTTTGGGCGGCTTCACTGTAATCGCAGAAAATCCCCGCGGTGAGGCGCGAGGCTTGGCGAGGCCCGGCGAGGCCCGCGGACACGGCGGCCGCGGAGGTGGAGGGCAAGGTCGTCCAAGATAGCTCGGCTCGACGTGGCCGACGTGACTCACCGGCGTCCGGCTGGTAGCTGCGGCGCGGCGGCAGGCTGTACTTGACGGCGCCGTCGCTCTGCTGGTACACCACCTCCTCGGTCACGTACTTGCTGCCCTGCACGGGGGACCCGGCGCCCATGTGCAGCGGGCCCATCTGCGGCAGAGGAAGCGTTAGGTCTGCCGCACAGTGGGCCAGAAGACCGGTGGAGGTGGCGAAAATCCCGGACGCGTTTTGAGCTCCAATGTCGCCAAATGGGTCTCGAACCGAACGTGTGACCCCACCAATGTATTCCTCGTTCGGAGAGCAATCCATTGGTGGGGTCACACGTTCGGTTCGAGTCCCACTTAGCGACTCTGGAGCTCAAAACGCGTCTAGAGTTTTTGCCGCCGGTCCACTGTGTGCCACCAGTTGGCTTGCAGACTGTCGTGCCAACAGGTGCTCACCACGGGCGTGATCTCGGTGGGCATGGGCAGGTGGTATACGGACGCGTCCACCATGTCGATCCTCCCCGGCGGCCCCAGGGCCATGGGGTGCCCCACGGGGGGCCCGACGAGGCTCTGGAAGCGCTGCTTGTAGGGCCCGAAGGCCCCGAAGGGCGGCAGCTCGGCCAGCGTGCCGGGGACGCGCGTCAGCAGGGTGTTGTTGTTCTCGGCCGGGGGCGTGTCGCCACTGCAAAACAGGGAAGTGCCGTGTCAGAGTAGGGTTGCCAACCTCCGCGGCGCAGCCACTGCAGAACAAGGCCCGAGTCAAGTAGGGTTGCCAACCACCGCGGCGCAGCCACTGCAAAACAGGGGAAGTCCAAAGCAGGGAAGTTGGGCTGATCGAAATTAATCAGACGGCGACGATGATGGCTTCGCGGCTCATTTGCCGTGGCGGGTGTGGCTGCACTGGCCGCACTGGCGCCAAACGCGGCGTCAAGCTTTGTCGCTCTCGGCTGTGGGAGCGGCGGGCCAGCACTCTCCGGCACTCCCCGGCGCTCCCTGCAGACTGATTCCGAGAGTCCTTTTCGTCTCTCTGTCTCTCTCGCACTCGTGGGGCGTCCCGCACAGGTGCGAGAGAGACAGAGCGACGAAAACGACTCTCGGAATCAGTGTGCTGGCGGCGCGGCTGGCTCGCAGACCGGAACGCCCTCTTCCGGTCAACGCCGCAAACGCCGCGAGCTATTAGCATTGTAGGGACCTGTCACGGCGCCACTGTGCTATTCGCGCCGGACCCGCCGATCACTGCACTGGAAACAGGAAAAAACGCGCCGCCGCCGCACGGTGGGCCAGAAGACCGGCGGAGGCGGCCAAAATCCCGGACGCGTTTTGAGCTCCAGAGTCGCTAAATGGGACTCGAACCGAACGTGTGACCCCACCAATGGACTGCTCTCCGAACGAGGAATCCATTGGTGGGGTCACACGTTCGGTTCGAGTCCTTGTGAACTGCCTCTACTCACCCGCTGGCGTACTTGTCGGCGGTGTGGTCATAGTCCAGGAAGCCGTTCTCGCTGCGCGGCGTCATCCGCAGCTGCATGTCCTGCTGCTCCTGCAGCTGCAGCTGCTGCTCGCGGTGCTTCTGGCGGCACCTGGGCAGCTGCACGCACACCAGGATGGCGGACAGCAGGGCCACCAGCTGCACCAGCACCAGGGCGCCGCCCGCCGACGCCAGCAGGCGCACTTGCTCGCCCAGCCACAGGCCGATCTTGTAGCCGCAGCCCTGCAACGGCAAAGTCAACATCACCACGATGCACCAGTGTCCGAAGGGTTGACAACCTCAGCCTGCCGTCACTAGGTTGACCCCCATTTCGACATTGGTGCATTCTTTGTAGCACCCATTTTTGCGGCGGACGGTATTAATCTGGGAGCGAAAATCGATTGTGGAAATGGACTTTGGACGGCGCGTTTTTGTTTCGGCGGCGGTTCTCATAATCAGGGCTAGCCGGCCGGCGGCCTTGAGATTGGCGCATTGTGCCCAGGTCAAGTTTCAGATCAGCACCGCCATCGCCGGCGGCTGTTCGACGGTTACGCAAGGCACGGCGAGGTGCCTCCACTGTACCTAGAGGACGAAACAGTACCCAGGTGCGGTGGGGTGTCCGGGCCCGTCCCACAGTGGGTCAGAAGACCGGTGGAGGCGGTCAAAATTCCGGACGCGTATTGAGCGCCGGAGTCGCTGAATGGGACTCGAACCGGACGTGTGACCCCAACAATGGATTCCTCGTTCGGAGAGCAGTCCGTGGGGTCACACGTTCGGTTACAGTCCTGTTTAACGACTCTGGCGCTCAAAACGCGTCCAGAATTTTGTCTCTGCCCAGTGCTACCAACCTCCATGTGTCGGAAGGGCCTGGCCACGTCCTGCTGCAGCGACTGGCACAGCGTCAGGTTGGTGGGCCTGGGGTCGAGGAAACTGTCGGGGTCCCTGACGTTGTCCAGCGAGCAGCACGACAGCGGCACCAGCAGGTCGCGCTGCCCCAGCTCGCGGAGGTGCCACCACGACGAGTGGTAGTCCGAGCCGCCCACCACGCCGCAGCACCGCAGCTGGAACCAAAGATCAGTGTAGGCGGACTTGGTTTTCAAGTTTTACTCTCATTCCAAGACGATTGGAGCAACTTTGCGAGGCTGGTGCTCCCAAACTATTTTTGAATAAGGCTTCCACGAGGCGGTCCATGATAGAATAGCGTCCGTAGAGTGCTGTGACGTTGCGGGAGGACTTTGAACACAGCTAGATTGGACCCAGTGGTCGCCCCAAAACAGCTGCTTTCCGATGTTTAATCACCTTTGACCAACTTCGCAAGGCTCTTGCTCCCAATCTAGCTGCAGTCAGGGCGTTGCCGGCACGAGGCATGATACACTGGGGTCTAAAGAGTGCCGTGACGTTGAGGGAGGACTTCGGCCGCAGCTAGTTTGGACGCGGTGGCCGCCCAAAGTCAGCGAAAGTGGCTCATTTTTTGAGATGGGGCGCGGCTGCCTCCCGAAAGGGCCTCCACCTACCGTCACTTGGGCCAGGTCGAAGGCGGCGGTGAACTGCTCCCTGCCGGGCACGCCGTAGCCGCGCTGCAGAGCGTCCGTCAGCCTGGGGTGCTCCACGGCCAGGCCCAGGAACTGCGGGCCGAGCGCGGCCAGGGCGCCGACGGCCAGCTCGCCCAGCAGCAGCAGCGTCAGCAGGAACAGGTACTGCAACGCGGAGGGTGAACGAGTGCTCGAAACTCTGGACGCGTTTTGAGCTCCAGAGTCGCTAAATGGGACTCGAACCGACCTGTGACCCCATCAATGGATTCCTCGTTCGGAGAGCAATCCATTGGTGGGGTCACACGTTCGGTTCGCGCCCCATTTAGCGACTCTGGAGCCCAAAACGCGTCTAGAGTTTTGGCCGCCTCCACCGGCCTTCTGGCCCACTGTGGCACTCACCGTGCCCAGGATGCAGTACGAGTGCAGGCAGGAGGCCCAGCAGCCCAGCACGGCCACGGCGCAGACGACCAGCCCCAGCGCCATCACGGCCAGGCACACGTAGTAGAGCAGCGGCTGCGGCGGCAGCAGCGTCGCGTTGGCGCCGGACACGCCGGCAGCCAGGATGAGGCGACTCATGAGCACGCGCGGCGCGTCGGACAGCAGCAGCGCGCCCAGCGCCACCGCGGCCAGCCCCGACACCTGCAGCAGCAAGCAGCACCAAGTTCGGTTAGGTTAGGTTAGGTTAGGTTAGGTTAGGTTAGGTTAGGTGAGGTTAGGTGAGGTTAAGCGGGCAGAGGTTGGCAGCCCTTTCGACACCGGTGCATGGAGGGAACTTTTTGGCAACCGTGGGTTGCCCGACTCGCTTATATGCGTATAATTCAAAACGTGTTGATTTTGCCCACCACACTGTACCCAACGTGAAACATGGTCTGCGACAGCCACCCGTGCATGCACTGATACGTCACAGCGATAGGATGAACACAAAGTCTCCGCGTTGCCACTCCACGCCATTCGGCTGCAGAGTGTACTTTCATCGCGACGGCAAAAAAAAATAACCGGTCCAATCACGAAGTCGCGGCTAAGCGGCCCCGCTTTGCCGCGAAGCCTCCGCCAAAAAAAAGGCGAGACGGCGAAAGAAAAAACGTCGCCAGGCGCAGCGAACGGCGGCGGGTCAAGAAAAGGTGCTTGATTGTCTGCTGTTTTGCGTTGCTGATCGGCCAAGTGGAAGCTGCCCTGCCCCGCCCTACCGGAGCGCCACCGGGCTTTCCCTCTCGCCGCCGGGATGAAAAATCCAGCGACCGGAAGAACGACCGACCGCCAAATTGCACACTACACTCGTAGGACGTTTCAAGTGTAGCGGCCCGTCACGCATTGTTCGTCATTGTTTCCGTTTTGCGTCCCCGTCGCGTCAAGCGGCGTCAAGCGGCGGCGGCAGAAAACAACAACAAAAACAACATCATCAACACAAATCCACCTCGTGCCCTCACGGGCTGATAACGCTTCCGCCGATAGCGCGGCGTTCGAATGTCACGGACATTTGACCGCGGAACCGAGACGGGCCGTGAAAATAAAACTAAATACGTTCAACGAATTCTATCAAGAGTTATCGGAAAAATGAGTGAGTCTTGGTTGTTTTTGTCGTTAATAATCCGTTCCCGCGCGCGAACACGAGGTCGAGGAATCGATGACCCGCCAGCCTACGGCAGCCCGATCCGGGGTCAAATGGCACCGCATTCCGGAGTGATAACAGTGAACAGTGTAGGCGCAGGCAGACGCAGGCAGACGCAGGCTATCGTGTCTGGGCCAATTAAGCGCCCACGACGGACGGCGGACGTCCAGTGTTGCCACAAGTAGGCAAAATCTCCCATGATGCACCGGTGCGTCGGAAGGGTTGCCAACCTCAGCCTGCCTGCTAGGCAAGCATCCGGGTTCAGGCCGGCTGAGGTTGGCAACCCCTTCGATACGCCGAAAAAAAACAAATGTGATCTCAAAAATTAGTGCATGATGATGACAATGTTGTTGATGATGTTGTTTTTGTGGAAATGAGAGGGGGGACGCGACGCGCAGGATGGAGGCATGGTTCGTGCGTTTCCCATGTTACACTTGGTTGACGTCGCTTCCGCCCCACCCCGCCCCGCCCGGCCCCGCCCCGCCCCGCCGCACCCCGCCACGCCCTGCCGCGTGCATGGGTGTACCGATATGTCCAGCCTTGTCGAACTGATTGCCGAGTCCAAGCTCAATTTGATGTTGTTGTTGCTGCTCTTGTTGTCGGTCGGGATGTCATCGACTTCCAAATCAGAGACCGCGGAGTGGATTGACACGCAGGCCGTGTCCAGACATCGACCAAGCCGCCAAGTTGGAATGAACGCATACACTTGCAATGACGACACCCAAGAGCTGTCTTGCAGTGCAGTTGTCGCGTTGTTTTGGCGCCGAGAGGTGCAATTTGCGAGCAGTTTGACTGAGGCGGCTGAGGCGTCACAGAACCCGTTCGGCTGCGACACTGGTTGCGTTTAGCATTTCGCCAAGCGCGTTAAAGCAAGGGGGGCTGACTCTCCCGAACCGTGTACGAAGTATTATATATTATAGGTATTATAGAGTATTATAGGTACTATTCCGAACATTTTATTTAGATAATTGTGTCGTTTTAAGTGGTTTTCCGTGTACCAAAGGTTTCCGAAATACGCAAGTTAGTTGAAAACAAGGATTCCGGCTTGCGCTCCTGAGCCTCAAAATACTACCGCGCATCTTTAAGAGCCTCAGCACCTTGTCATCAGCCTTAGCACCATTTTCTTACTCTAACGATCCGTCTAAAAATCGCTGAACGCCTGTTCACCACAATTTTACAAAACTTTCTCATTTTGAACCCGAAACTGCACTAAATGTGCGGCATTTTTTGGTATTATGGATTATAGTATTATAGGTATTATACAAGTATTATAGGTCTGTGTACGAAGTATTATAGGTCTGTGTACGAAGTATTATAGGAGTCAGCCCCCCTTGCGTTAAAGTGCGCAAATCGGTCGGGGGCCCACTGATTACGTGTCGCGCCTCGGCGTCTCGGTTCGCGTCGCCCTGTCTCTCTCGCACTCGTGGGGCGTCCCGCGTGGGTGCGAGAGAGACAGAGCGACGCCGTGGGGAATCAGCCTGCTGGTTTGACTGATGGCGCCGGGAGAGAGACAGAGAAACCAGCTACTATCAGAGACTACGTGACCCCGGCGATACCCCGCAGCGGTGGGCCCTGTCCGTCACCAAAGAAACGCGTCTTCGATACTCCACGCCCGAGGGACTCTCTGACGATGCCTCATTCGTACTCACCAGGAACAACGCGTTGCTGATGACCATCACGGCCTTCCCCGCGCACAGGTTGGCCATCTTGCGGGGCACTCGGTGGACGCCTACACTCGTCACTCTCTCACTCACTGAACGTCACTCGCGACACTGTCCTCGTCACCGCGCGTGGCGCCTCCGCGGCCCCCGCCAAGAATGCCGCTGCACTGTGGGGACTGGCGCCATGCCGCGCCTAGCCGCGTCGAGATGCTGCACGACTGAACTGCACACTCCCACTCCCGCTGGAGGCACACCGCCGCGCCGCCCCGCGCGTCACGTGACCGGGCGGCACTCACAGTGCACTCACTGGGTCACGGAGGCACCTTCCGGCCGCGCCCGGTTTTGTCGCTCTGTCTCTCTCGCACCTACACGGGGCGCCGCATGCGCCGCATGAGAGCGACAGAGAGGGAAGGACCTCCTCGCCAATCAGGCGAAACGCCGTAAAGTCTCTGATGTGCATCCGCCGGCGGGGCCCGCGGCTTCTTCTATCCGGAGTTCAATTCCTCGCTAGCCTCTATCCGGCGGCAGCGGTCGCTTCTTCTATGCCTTCTATCTCGCACGGCGGCGGTGATGGCGGCTTTTTTGGTGGATCAAGTCCTCGCGGCCGGAGTCCCACAGTGTGGCTGCGTGTCCGCGTCCGGTGGCTGCTCGCGCGCTGCTCGGTCCGCGTAGAGGTCCGCGCGCCGCGCGGTCGTCGGACTGAATGACGGCCTGGATGGCGGCCTGGATGGCGGCGCGCCGCTCCAGCGCTCCGGCAGACCGAGAGTCGTCGCTCTGTCTCTCTCGCACTCATGGGCACTCATGGGGCGTCCCGTACGGGTGCGAGAGAGACAGAGCGGCGAAGCGCGCCCTGCATGCGGCGGGCTCCACACTCCCCCGCAGCACTCCCCGCGCGACACACAGGTGGATGCCCTGCGGCGCCATGGCGTCGCGCTGTCTCTCTCGCACGCCTACGGCGCGCCCCATGAGTGCGAGAGAGACAGAGCGACGAATCAGGCTTCGAAACCGCCACTGATATGCCGCTGCGGGGAAGAAAGGGGTCCGTTTTGGCGCAGAAAGTGCCGGCCGGTGCCGCCTGAGGTGCCACGGCCGTGACGCGCCATGCGGCCCGCCGTGCCGGACAGGCCCTACACCGTAATCGCGCCTCCCTTCACGGAGGAAAGCAAAAGTGACCCGCGCCGAGCGGCTGCGTGCGAGTAGGGGGCCGCGAAGGCGCCAAACACCAAATACAGGGTCACTACGCGCGCTAAAGGCAGGGTTGCCAGCATCCCCACGATGCACCCGTGTGGAAAGGGTTGCCAACCTCAGCCTGCCTGCTAGGCAGTACTATCCGGGCTGTGCTTCCGAGAAGCCGTTGCCTTGTAGGCAGGCTGAGGTTGGCAACCCTTTCGACACTGGTGCGTCGTGGGGATGTTTGCCTGCCAGTGTGGCAACACTCGGCCCGGCTCAAACTGCGCGGGCTTTCGTCGCTGTTGCGCGCTTTCCGCGGTGCGCTGCAGCGCTGTCTATGTCCAGTTACGCTGCAGGCCGATTCTGAAAGTCGTGGCTGTCTCTCTCGCACTCATGGGGCGTGCCGCCTAGGTGCGAGAGAGACAGAGCGACGCCTCTCGGCCTGGCGGGCGTCACGGTCGGCCGGCCAGGCTGGGCACGCTGGGCCGCGCCGAACAGGCCGAACACACGGGTCAGGAAGTCGCCTCGTCGGTGCGAGGGAGGGGGGCGTGAATGGAAAGTGAAAGAGACAGTCGTCACAAACGCGCCGCTCTGTCTCTCTCGCGCCCCTTTGACGCGCTGGGCAGAGCGGCAGAGCGGCAGAGCGGCAGAGCGCGAGAAACGGCAAGCGCCGGCAGCAAACACACTGCAAACCTAACTGTCTACTAAGTACACACTTACAAATGCATGCTTGCAAGTACACACTTACAAACGCATGCTTGGCCAAGTACACACTTACAAATGCATGCTTGCAAGTACACACTTACAAACGCATGCTTGACGCATGGAGTTATATGGCGTCAAGCATGCGTTTGTAAGTGTGTACTTGCAAGCATGCATTTGTAAATGTGTACTTGGCCAAGCATGCGTTTGTAAGTGTGTACTTGCAAGCATGCATTTGTAAGTGTGTACTTAGTAGACAGTTAGGTTTGCAGTGCAGGGACAGCACTTGCACTCTTGCTGCACACTGGTTCCGAGAGTCGTCGCTCTGTCCCTCTCGCACCTACACGGGACGCCCCATGAGTGCGAGAGAGACAGAGCGACGGCTCTCGGAATCCGTCTGCAGCCCGCGGCCGGCCGAACGGACCGAGCGGACAAACACACGTGGCGCCACCGCGGTGCACCGGGAGGAAAGGCTGCCACGGTGGCTGCGCTGCTGCGACCGAGTCGCGGGTTCGAATCCGCGGCAACTTCCTTTACTTTCGCGGAACATTGAACCTGCGTGTGCTTCGTGCTCAGTACTCCGTGCTTCGTTTAACGACGCGGCAGTCTGATGGCCGCGCCTTGCCCTTCATACCCCACTTCCGGCCGGGATCCTCTCTCTCTCTCTCTCTCTCTCTCTCTCTCTCTCTCTCTCTCTCTCTCTCTCTCTCTCCCTCTCTCGCACCCCCACGGGACTCCCCGTGAATGCGAGAGAGACAGAGCGACAGGAGGAAGTCCCTGGACGCGGTGTTCCGCCGGAGCTTCCGGGCCGCCTCCGAAAACAAGGAGAACGTGGCGAAGGTCCGGAAGCGGCCAATCATAAATCGAGGGTTTCGTGTGGTTTGGCCCAGACAGAGCCACGAGAGCGCTGCACGGAACCAGGCCAGAAGTGCGAGCGTCAACGCATAGAGCGGAGCGGCCGGCAAGTTGGAACGCCCGACCTACCGAGGGCAGGCAGACCCGCCGCGCAGCGCTGTGCAACGGGCCGCTCTCCCCCCTGGAAATGAGAGAGAGACAACCACGCCAAGCCGAGCGTGGTTCCGTGCACTCGACATACTCGGCATGGCGTCCACCTCTGTCGCTGTGCCTGCTTGTGTGAGCGGCCCGCTGCTCCGCAGCATCCAGGGTCCGTCAAAACCATCGCGGAAACTGCAGTTTTTGCCATTTTCCCAGCAAATGATTCAGAATTAAGGGAAAATGATGGTGTGGGGTCTCCTAATGCTTCCTGGGGAAAACTGCTGCGTTCAGGTAAACTTTAGCGAATCCCAAAAAAACCGACGACCCTTCTGGAAAGACCCTTAAATCCGTTTGTTTGAAACCCCGACTTCCTGTGCGCTCTGGGCGCCGTGCCATGCCGTTCTCTGCCCGGGCCCCTCAGAAACCCTGGCCAGCACGCGTCGGTACCACAGCCAGCTCCCACCCTTCTTTCCGGTTCCATCTCGATCCGGTGCGCGCTCGCTCGCTCGTTCGCTCCGACTTGTGTTGACATTCTTCAAGCCTCTAGGCCCGTCACATTTTGTTTATTTACTTCGCAGGTAGGTTCTTTTAATTTTGTGCTGAAGATATGCCGTTGCTATGGTTCCTCTTATCCTGCCATGACGCTATTGTTGAGTTTTATCGGACAATTTGGAGTGTAGCGGTTAGCACTGCATGTCCATGCGGCGCGGGCTGTCTGCTTGGCCATTTCCCTCCCGTTTGATGAGACTCAACTCGTCTTTGGGCCGTGTCTCTTGCGTCTTAGTCTCTGTCGGTGTATGTCTCCACTCGTGTTTGCGTTCCACATGCTTCTCAAAGCTTTAGTGGGGCTTTGCTTTACCTGTGTGGAACCTTAACCCCACTTCGCACGTGGAACGGGCGGGACTCTTTTCATTTCCGCGTTTCGAGTGTGTCTCCCGTGTCGGCGCCACTTCCGACCGCCTGTTTACTAACTCGGTGTTTACTTTTGCCCCTTTCGCAGTGAGACATGGAGTCTGCTCCAGTGAACGGCGCCAACGGGTTCCGGGGACGGGGGGGCCCGCGCGGCAGTGGCGGCGGCAGGGGCGGCTTCAGAGGCAGGGGCGCTGGAGGCAGTCCCTTCAGGGGCCGAGGCGGTGCCCGAGGCGGCCCGCACCAAGGACAAGGGAGGCCCTTCCGTGGACAAAGCGGTCCCTTCAGGGGCGGCAGGGCTTCATTCAGGGGTGGCGACAAAGGACAAGCTCCGTTCAGGGGTGGCGGAAGAGGGCGGGGTGCTTCCAGCACCAAGTACGTATCATTTCAGTCGCTGAGTGTTACTTGGATTCGCATGTTGTATTTTCTTATCGTGTTTTTCTCTGTTTTCGCTTTTCAGGATTCATCCTCAAGTTCAGTTTGTGGAGCCATACATTCGTAAAGGACTAGATTCCCAGTATAACAACTTCCGGTGTTTATTTGAAATAACAAATCTGCCAACAATTTCAATTCAAGATTTCAATGCACTACGCGCCTTCATAGTGGAAAATACCAAAGTTTCGGTCAAGAGAATTCTTTACAAATTGCCATCTGATACGTCTAGATCAGTGACCGCTGTTTGTGAAACAGAGACTCCGAAGAATATATCTCAGGTGGCAGACAAGCTGCATGGACTAGTTTTCCGAGACCGTCACTTGCTTATTAACAGAAGTTTTGCTTACCCTGGCCATCTTGAGAATTGTGTTAGAGTTTTCACCCAGAAGCCAGTAGCAACAGAAGTAACAGAGGAAACATTGTACTCTTTGTTTGAGTCTTGTGGAAACCTTCAAGTTATTCGTTTAATCAATTGCAAACCTGACGCTGCTTTGGAGGCACTTATTACCTTTGGAGACTCTGACTCTGTGCTTAAAGCTTTAAAATTGAATCCGAAGGTTGGCAAGACCAAAGCTAATGTTGTGAGTTTGGGTCAGCTCTTTGCAACAGTCTCTCCAATTGCTGCAGTTGACAAAGTACTGAAAGATTTCAAAACAAACTATGTCGATAAACAACCCAACTTAGCATATGTGTACTTTTCAGTAAGTCCTGCTCTTGCTATTGTTGTGTTACCCTTCTTATCTTCAGTAAAATTTGATTCTATACTTGTGGTTTCAGGATGAAGAAAGTTATTCCAAAGCCCTGGAACTAAATGGAACAGCTTATGATGGTCTTCACCAAGTTGTGATCCAACCAGAGCTTTCAGTGTTTATTGCAGACCCGAATTTCAGTATGTTGACTTCCTGATATTGTGTTTTTAAGTTGCCACCTGTGTAACTTGTCTTTCATATTGATTATCTTATTCCAGGATTGAAGCCCGAACAATTGAAGGCAGTTTTTGGTTCTTCTAAAATTGTTGCCCATCCAATCAGAAATGATGTTCATGTTATTAAGTTTAGGGTAAGTTTTTTTCTTTGAATCTTACTTCTTAATTTTATTTTTATTTAATGTTGAATTATTCTTTTGACACATTTATTTTTGTTGCAGTCTAAAACTGACCTTGATAATGCCCTCAAAGCCTCCCCAGTTTTAATAAATAACAATTCATATACTGTAGTTGACTCAGTTTCCAAGATTCCAATAACTGAGGTCAAGAGCAATGATGAGGAGGAAGAGTCAGATGAAGAAGTAGACGAGGAAGAGGCGGAGGACGAGAGTGGTGAGGAGGAAGAGGAAGATGTAGATGCTGAGGAGGAAGAGGGAGATTCTGAGGAAGGGGATGAAGACGATGAGGGCGAGGATGAAGATGATGAGGAGGATGAAGAGGAAGAAGAGAGCTCAGAGGAGGAAGCTACTCCTGCTCCAAAAGCACCCAGCCCCAAGAAAGTAAGTGCATGGTCATTGTCTCATTGATATGCCTGGTTGATTTTTTTTTTAAATTGTCTAATTGTGTTGTCTTGTTTTAGGGACAACAGCCACCAGCTAAGACAGCTCCCAAAAGAAAATGGAATGACAAAGTCCAGAAAGGGGGAAAGAAACAAAAAGCTTAGATAGTTTTTAATCTTATGTTAAGTATCATTACTGTTAAAGTTTCTACTGGCATCTCTGCCAGCCCTGTTACCCACTTGTTCGTTGACGCTTACCAAGAAACTTGGTAGTTGTTTTAGACCATGTATTCCTAACTTGAAGAAGAATTTGTAAACAATGGAATAAAAATTCTCTGCCTTAATGTGTTTGTCTCTAAGACCCTGTGGCCTTCTTCAAGTTCAGTTTTAAAACTGAAGCAACAATTGGTGAAATTAAAATCTATTGAATGAATGCCTTGAGTCCACAAAAACCAATTCAATAACAACTGTTTTATTAAGGAAAAGTGAAAATTATGATACATGAAGGTAAAACCTTGATCCTTGCCTCACTTAAAAGAAATATTCAGAAATCCAATTTACTGCTCTGATTTGAAGAACAACTGAAAGATTTATTCCCGGACAAAATATCATCTTGTTCTCGTTGAGCCGATTCTTGAAGTTCAGGAGGCAAGTGCAATTTCTGCAATGAAAACACAAACAAACATTAGGCTAGCATTCAACAACATAAATTACATTACACATGCAATTACCTCCATACATACATACCTCAATAACAAATTTTCTTCGCCTAAGTTTGAATGCAAGGTCTAAACTCTCTGGTACAGGGGTTGCCAGAGTGTTGATTGGACCTAGTTTGCGTACATGGAGAAGACCATGATATTCTTTGAATACTGGATTAGTTTCATATGAGGATCCTGCAAAGGACTCAAACTTCAAGGCCATGTCACTCTGGTACTCACAGAGTCTTTGGATAGCAGGATCCTGTAATTTTCACCATAAACATGAATAAACAAAACCAATTTTGATTTCTCTAACGTAATTAGATCCAAAGAAGACTTGGAATAAAAATTACCTGAAATAAGTGGCATGGAACTGTTACCATAGCTAAAGCATACGACTCTCGCAACAAAGATCGCAGGCAGAGTAGAAACCTCGGAAGATCTTTTTTGATGGTAGCATCCAAGGACTGACCACATGAAGAATTGACCCACAAGGGTGATCCAAGGGAATGAATCGCAAGGCGCAATATACTGTGTTTGCTGGGCTCATCTTGCACACCAAATTGGCCATCTAATAAATGCTTTTGAATTCGTGACAAAAGAAAGCCGTAATCAGGATTGATAAAACCCCCTAGAAATAAGCAAAGCAGAAATTATAAACATCAGTTGTTACAACATAAAATAGATGGGATTCATATAATTTATGAATAATTTTATTTGTGTTGTAGTCTTACCTACAGGAAGATCATTTTCCTCAGGACCAGACCACAAAGTGAAATCACAGCTATCTAAATCCTCAGGTGAGATGGTTTGGGTGAGATCAAAGTTGTGGCCAAGCTGAGTGCCGCTGTTGGATGAACCAGGTGCAGATTGCACCTGTCGCATATTCTGGTATCGCCATGCTATTGTCATGGGATCCTCAACTTTCGCGCCTTGAGAAGACCCGGAGCCAGAATCAGATTTGATAGGAAGAGGTAGGTCCTTCATCTAAAACCATCAAACCAGTAAAAAAAAAATATTACAAAAGAAATTAGACGGTGAATTTGAATGTGAACACTTACAAGAGATTTTGGCACAATGTCACGGCTCGCCAAGAAGAGAGGATGATCACAAGCAGCTCCTTCAGCGAGAAAGTATTTCAACATAAGCTTAGCAAAAGTACCAAAAACGTCTTCCTCTGAAACATGTAAAGAAAAATCAAAACAAAAACAATGTAAATATAAAAGCTCAAGTTTTCAAAACCAAGAACAGAAGTGATGAAAAGTACATGACAAACCTATGAGGAGAATGGTGCCTACAGGAAGTCCATTTCCTGAAAAAATATATAATAAAAATAAGAACTAACAGCACATAAAAGGAACACTAAATATGAAGTCTCTGAGTGAAAACATGAGCCATATGAGTGAGAGGTTAAGACGGAAGTCTGCTGGAGGTTCGAGACATACCCAAAACATGGTCAAGCGACGGCACCCCACTTGAAGCAAGAATTTGAGCATTCTGGACGGATTGACGGGTTCCTTGAATGTAAGGAATCCGATTTCTTCCTTTCTTTTGAAAACTTGTGATGTTTCCCTCGGAGGTTAGGGAGGCCATTGTTGCTTAAATTGCGGTAGTGCCAATAGTCAGTTAACTAACTTCGGTATTCGCACGCTGACAGCTTCTGCTTTGTTTTGGTTGTGGTTGTTTTGTCTTGTCAAGCGGCGTGTTTTGACGGATGACGAGATGAAGAAGCTGACATCGACATTATATTGAAAGCAGGATGATACTGATTGACCTTTGGAATCACGCGAGCAGAGGAAAACATTTCCTTTGTTAGACCACTTGTGACTGTGGCTCCACTTCAACGTTCCAACGTAATTTCAATATCCTGATTTTTCTGTATTTCATATTGACCTTTTAGTCCAATTAATATGTTTTGTGAATCTATGATTTTCGACTACAGGTTTCGTAATTAATTCATGCCGTGAAGTCTTCAGTTGCCATTGGAAATGATGAATCATTCATTCTGGGCACTTGCCACTGTGCTCTTGGCATCAAACGTGTCAGCAATTTTTGTTAAGGGTATTCCAGAGCTTCCTAAAGGGGGTATTTTACCAAATGGTGGTAAAATTTGGGCACTTCTTGTTGCTGGATCAAATGGATACTACAACTACCGTCATCAGGTAATTTTTACATGAAGCATTTCGATAATTACCGTGGATTAATTCCTTTCTCTCCTGTTCTTAGGCCGATGTATGCCATGCATATCAGATTCTCCACAAAAATGGGATTCCAGATGAGAACATTATTGTTATGATGTATGATGATGTTGCATCATCTTCTGAGTGAGTTTAGCGTGTGTCAGAAGTCTGCCCGGATTGCACATCTTTGTAAGAAAGCCACTAACTTATTTTACGTTTCTTTTAATTTGAAGGAATCCGACACCCAATGTGATTATCAACCGTCCTGGTGGACCAAATGTGTACAAGGGGGTTCCGATAGATTACTCTGGTGATGTAGGTTTCCTTAAAACATTTTAGAATTTTTACATTTTGAATAATTTGCAGCTCTATCACTTATGTCATTTGCTTTTAGGATGTCAATTCTACAAACTTCCTGAAAGTCTTGACTGGTCAAAGCAATGCTCTGGAAGGCATTGGTACAGGAAGAGCTATAGCCAGGTAAATTCTTATGAGGAAATTTTGATACATAATTTACAGGTATGCCAGGAGACTTCTATGATTTCATTTACATTTTTTCCCTCAGTGGCCCTAAGGATCACATATTTATTAACTTTGTGGACCATGGAGCACCAGGATTTCTTTGTTTTCCAAATGATGAATTGCATGCCAAACTTTTAGAGAAAACATTGGAAGGAATGGTGGCAGAGAACCGCTTTAGCAAGGTTTGAGGGTACAAATTTCAAATTTTTAATTAATTTAATGAACTTTTTATTTCATTTTTTGCTGTCTTTACTCATTTTAGATGGTGCTTTATGTTGAAGCATGTGAATCTGGATCCATGTTCGATGACATTCTTCCCGATACTACAGATAGTATGTGGCTACTTGCATGCGCTGACCTGTCGCTGCTGTTTGATAATTGTTCTCTCTTGTATTTATGATTTTTTTTTTTTTTTTTAGTATTTGTCATGACTGCTGCGGATCCTAGGGAAAGCTCCTACGCTTGCTATTATGACAAATTGAGGGGCACATACCTGGGAGATGTTTTCAGTGTGAAGTGGATGGAAGATTCTGACAAAGTAATTTTTCACTTGTGCTTTCATGAGAGATCACGCTTCTCTTGAAATTCTTGCTAGGTGGTATTCTTAAGGAAAGTTTATCAAATATATTGATCCACATTTGTATCTTATTTATAGGAAAATCTTGCCAAAGAAACTCTCCATCATCAATTTGAACTCGTTCGTACTGAAACAAACTCCAGTCATGTGGAAGAGTATGGGGACCTTGATGTCGGGGCCCTACCGGTGGCATACTTTCAGGGGTATCAAGGACGCTTTTCATCCCTCAATGGTGAAAATGACCGTCTACCTCCCATAAATGTGAGTTCCTGCTTCAGCTTAGAAAGCCATCCCCTTCCCCTTCAACTGTGGAATCTAATTATTATTATTTTTGTCAGGATGCTATTTCCAGTAGAGATGTTCCCTTGGCAATTCTTAAACACCAGTATGAAGCAGCTGTTGATCGGAAAACTAAAAGATACCTGCAATTTAAAATTCATCGCATGCAAAAAGTAAGCCAATTTTTCTTTTTGAGGGGCCTTCAGCAAGAAACCAAAAAAAATTTGAAACATTGCTTATGGCATTTTTATTTCAGATGCGTCGTTTCCTTGATGTTGCTGTGGCTGACATTGCATCTCAAATTGCACATGGTAATGAGGAAAAAACAGCCTACCTACTTGGGTCAGACCAAAAACTAACATCATCAAAATTAGAATGCTATGAAACTTTGGTCAAATATTTTTCATCGAAATGCTTCAAGATATCTGAGGTAATAATTGCTAATTTTGAGCTGCAGGATCTTAAAATCAAATTTGTAATTTTATTGACATTGTGTCCTTTATTACAGAATCCTCATGCACTGTCAAAAATGAAAGTGTTTATAAATATTTGCTCTGCTCCTTGGGTTGCCATTAACTCTGCTCTGAGAGCTATGGATGCCATTTGTGTGCCAGAAAGGCAGTTGACAGGAATCCATTGATCTGGCTGCGATCATTTTCTAGTCAAGCTTCACAAAATCAAGCTACAGAGTGTTAGGAATGATGGGAAATGAACACCAAAATTTGTACCATTTTACATTTGTACAACAATTTAAATTTATTGAATAAAATCAATCAACGTGTATTGCAGAAATCTACCTACAAATAATTCTGTTGTCTTGAAGATGCTGATAGTGAAAATGCATAGTCTAGACTAAGTTCATATGTATATCACCAAGATGTGTTTTATTATTAGTGAGACGATTTGGTTTACAAGGATTCTGTTTACCCCTTACAGTAAAAGTTAAAAAAAATTACATTTAAAATAAAATTTAAAAAGGATTATGAAGTAATTAAAAGTTCTAAAGTATCACAGTCAAATACTACTCATTCTCTCTCAGCAACATCAGGAATGTCTTAGCATTCCTAATGGTATGGATACACCTCTGAGAAATCCCACTCCACCCATCAATATTCTTGTTCACACTTTTTTCTTCCATTGAGCACCGGAATGTAAACTATGACGGATCTTGAGTAAAAGCGGGATTTTCAGTTCCTTCAGGGATGGGTGGCAAGCCTTCCTTCGTTTTGCCTATTTTGCTGAAAATATTTCCAAACAAAGTTAAAGAAGGATAAAACGATGAGGAGCGGCGGCAAGACATTTTTTTAAAAAATCAATTCAACAAACGCACTCACCAGTTCCAGCTCTCCACGTCCGCGATTGTGTCCGGGAGTTCCCTGTGCAGTGTTTCCGGCAGCATGAAGACCAGCAAGCCGGCCAGCAGGGGCATGAGGCCGAAGATGGCCGGCGGCAGCGAGGGCGACACGGAGTTGAGCGTGGCCACGAAGGGCGCCAGCCCCGAGCCCACCCTGGCGATGGTGGACGACGAGCCCACCCCGATGTTCCGCACCACTGTCGGGAACAGCTCGGCGGCGTAGATGTAGACGCAGGGGAAGGCGATGGAGATCCCCGTGACGCCGCACGACGCCAGCGCCACCGTCACCCAGTCGGGCAGCCCTGAAGCGTGAGACGCGTTTTGAGCTCCAGAGTCGCTAAACAGCACTCGAACCGAACGTGTGACCTCACCAATGGATTCCTCGTTCGGAGAGCAATCCATTGGTGGGGTCACACGTTCGGTTCGAGTCCCATTTAGCGACTCTGGCGCTCGAAACGCGTCTGGAGTTTTGGCCGCCTTGCCCACTGCACTGTGGTGCTACCTACCCAGCAGCGGCACCAGCATGATGGCGAGGCACGACACGCCGGTGAAGGCCTGCGCGAACAGCAGCGTCTTGCGGCGCCCCCACTTGATGAGCGCCACGCAGCAGATGACCATGCCGGGCAGCTCCAGCACGCCGGACAGGAAGCCGTTGAGGAAGATGTTGCCCGCCACCTGGCCCATGTACTGCACCAGGCCGTAGAACACCAGGCCGCACGCCGCCCAGTTGGCGTACATCACCAGCGTGCAGCGACGCATCACGGGCGTGCGGAACAGCGCGGACACGCCGCCGGGGCCCTCCTGCGGACAGCACACTGTCAAACCGGACCCACACTACTTAAAAAAAAAATAATTTAAAAAATGAACGCCGCAGTTGGGTTTGGGAAAATCGTGGACCTTCCGCATGAGTCGTCCCGTCAAGGATCTCATGGTGATGTTAGCAATGAGACATGCGTTTAAAATTACCTCCCCCCCCGAAAAAAATATATATAAAAATATTTAAAAAATTGAAACAATCTAAAAAATATAGGAATAAAATAAGTTTTTTTAGCGAGGGTGACACGTTGCGGCATAGATTAAGAGACTATTGGTCACCTTTCCACGACGCGGCCACGAGGGCTCGATCGTGCATCGTGCATCCACGCGCGTGGAGTGTGGAGTCCATCCGGTTGTAAAACCAAAATGAAAACAACGAGTCTCGTCTTTGAGTCCCGCCGCACCGACTGCACCGGTCCTGCCCAACGCCAAAGTACAAGCGGTCCAAGGTCCAAGTCCGCGGAGTGCGAGAGAGATAGACCGACGGCCTGCACGGGACGCCCCGTGAGTGCGAGAGAGATAGACCGACGGCCTGCACGGGACGCCCCGTGAGTGCGAGAGAGATAGACCGACGGCCTGCACGGGACGCCCCACGAGTGCGAGAGAGATAGAGAATGCGGGATCGCCCCGCGGAAGGACACCACTCGTGGTGCTTCCCCGCTTGGGAGCCACCTAGACAGTCACGGCCTGGCGGCCCCTCGCCTTATCACGGTGTGGGTGCAACAGGTTCAATGCCTGTGTACGTCCACTGCACTGCAAGTCCGCAGTTTGGTGCGGGAAGTGACAAAACAATGAGGGTTAAAAAAAACTTGAGTGATAAATTTTATGTTTTTTTTTTTGCCTTGGCTTTACTGCTTTAATAATGTACAGTAATTTTAAACTAAACTGTGTTAGGACGCAAGGATGCAAGGCGCCACACCTATTAAAAAACAGTTATCCGCAAAAAAATTATGTGCACTTGGGATATGTAGTTGGACGGAGCGAGAGTACGTGAGTCATACACCCCGTTCACTAGAAGCCAATCTATCGCCTATCTCACTCGCGACACAGACATCCCACCGACAGTGGCGGAGAGACAGTCTGGTATGGGCTCGAATTGGGCTGACGTAGGGCAGTAAACTCCAAGAAGATAGAGAGATAGAAAAATAGAGAGGTAGAAAAATAGAGAGATAGAAAAATAGAGAGATAGAAAAATAGAGAGATAGAATAATAGAGAGATAGAAAAATAGAGAGATAGAAAAATAAAGAGATAGAAAAATAGAGAGACAGATAAATAGAGAGACAGATATATAGAGAGACAGATATATAGAGAGACAGATAAATAGAGAGACAGATAAATAGAGAGACAGATAAATAGAGAGACAGATAAATAGAGAGACAGATAAATAGAGAGACAGATAAATAGAGAGACAGCGAGTCAGAGACAGAGAGAGTCGGAGAAATAGAGAGATAGAGGGGCATGAGACAGGACTCACCTCCTTCTTCTGGCCCTCCTTGCAGGCGGCCAGCACCTTGTCCCAGTCGGCCACCTCGATGCGGTTGGCCCTGGCTCCCTTCCGCAGCACGTCCACGGCGTCGGCGTCGCGGCCCACGGCGAGCAGCCAGCGCGGCGACTCGGGCACGACCCAGATGTAGGCGAGCTGGAGCGCCACTGGGAGGCTGACGGCGAGCTGCAGGTCCCTCCAGTCGCGCAGCAGAAACGCCAGCCCCGCCAGCATGCAGTGGCCCACGCTGAAGGGCAGGGCGCCCAGAGTGTTGACCGGCGTCCTCCAGCGGCCGCCGATTATCTCGATCACTGGAAAGGGGACCCCGTGTCACTGCACTGTACACACGCTGTCACAGACTCCAAATCCGCAAACGGCCACTTTCATTTCCGATTTTTGTTTTTGGTTTCGTGCATTGGGGTCCTTTACACTCAAGAACGGGCACACATTGGGCCAGAAGACCGGTGGAGGCGGCCAAAACTCTAGATGCGTTTTGAGCTCTTAGAGTCGCTGGGACTCGAACCGAGCGTGTTCGGAGAGCAATCCATTGGTGGGGTCACACGTTCGGTTCGAGTCCCTTTTTAGCGACTCTGGAGCTCCAAACGCGTCGAGAATTTCGGCCGCCTCCCCCGGTCCTCTGGCTCACTGTGGTACATAGGTTGAAGCATGCTTGCATACTCCGCCTGAAACGTGCGTGGAGGGCAAGGGCGGGCAAGGGGCAAGGGCAAACCCAGCGGCCGGCGGTGAACTTGAACTTGGACCGACCGGGCCGTCAACACAGCTTTGCCACGCCACGGTAATTCGATTGGGTTGGGAGTGGCGGGCGTTACGGCGGACGGACGGACGGACGGACAGGCAGGCAGGCAAGCAAGCAGGCAGCCCAGGCGCCGCCAATCACTATCGCCGGCCCGGCAAGTCGCGGGAAAAGACTCCACGGATCCCTCCAAAACAATGCTGCCACTGTGCACTTTGTCGAAAGGGTTGCCAACCCCTGGCTGTCTACCAAAGACGTTGGCTTAGCGATCGGGGGCTCGCCCCGCAGACAGGCTCGACACTTTATGCCTTTTTATGCCAACTGCTCCAAGAATAGCAGAGCGACGCGCGCGCCGACTATTATTAACGGGACTTCCTTTTATCAGGAGGGAGCGTCTGCCGGATAGCGGAGAGAAGGAATGCAGGAGACTGATTCCGCGCAGCGCCTCGTCGTTCTGTCTCTCTCGCACCCGCGGGGCACTCCGCGACGAGATGGAGACAGTGACAAGGATGCTTCCTCCAACCTCCGATTCCGACACTCGTCTTTTTATATCCCTTCGCGAGCGCAGTGCTATTTTCGACTCCGTTTCATCCTTACCGACACAGACGCGGACGCCGGTTATCGGTCCTGCACTGTAACAGTGGAAGGGTTCCCTGCGAGTGCGAGAGAGACAGAGAACTCACTGAGGACGAAGCCGGTGACGGTGATGGCGCCCACGGCCACGGCGCTGAGGAAGCGCAGCACCAGGTACACGCTGAACCAGGGCACCAGGGCGCACCCCACGCCCGTCAGGAGCTGCACCACGGAGCCGGCCAGCAGGGGGGGCTTGCGGCCGTACTTGTCGGCCACCAGGCCGCCCAGGGTGCAGCCCACCAGGAAGCCGAACATGAACAGCATCTGCACCACGTTGGCGAGCTGCGCGCGCCCGCACACCAGGTTCCACTGAAAGGAGAGCATCAGCGTCAGGCTCTTCGCACAGTGGAGTTGCAGGCGGCCAAAACCCCGGACGCGTTTTGAGCTCCAGAGTCGCTAAGCAGGACTCGAACCGAACGTGTGACCCCACCAATGGATTGCTCTGCGAACGAGGAATCCATTGGTGGGGTCACACGTTCAGGTCGAGTCGTGTTTAGCGACTCTGGAGCTCAAAACGCGTCTAGAGTTTTGGCCGCCTCCACCGGTCTTCTGGCCCACTGTGCTCCGTCCTGTTAGATCGTCACACCGCGTCACGCTGCTAACGCGTCGAACGTGACGCGTGACACATTGGCGCCGTGACGCGGCGTGACACGCCGCATCGGCCACGCGGCCGTGTTCGCCACGGAAACGGCTATCACACGTCACGGCGCGGCGGCACGGCGCGGCACGGCGCGGCACGGCACGAAGTAGGACGCGAACACAATTCGCTGTTAAAATTCCGGGGCCAGGTGTCAACTATGACGGCCAAACAAGCGGCCGGGCGGCCAGCCTCCGCGACAAAAACAAACACGCGCCCGGCGCAAAATGAGCGCCGATTGTAAAAGCCGTGGCTTACACTGCAGTGTGGTGTTGCCCGCCACACTGGCAAACGAAAAGTTGTTGAAAGGGCGGCCAACCTCAGCCTGCCTGACGGGGAATGCTTGGGCGTTGCTATGAAGGGCCGGCCTAGCGGGCAGGTTGAGGTCGGAAGCCCTTCTGACAGTGGAGGCCGTGAGGCCCCTGCGAGGTAGGCAACGCGTTGGCCGCCGCGCACGCCCGTCGGCTGGGTTGCCTACGCCGCAGGCGCTCCGGCCGCACCGGTGGAGGCGGACAAAACTCTAGACGCGTTTTGAGCTCCAGAGTCGCTAAATGGGACTCGAACCGAACGTGTGACCCCACAAATGGATTCCTCGTTCGGAGACCAATCCATTGGTGGGGTCACACGCTCGGTTCGAGTCCGATTTAGCGACTCTGGAGCTCAAAACGCGTCCGGGATTTTGACCGCTTTCACTGATGTGGCCCACTGTGCCAGTTTTATTTTTCAAGTAGTTTCATGAGAAGGCCTCACCTCCGTGATGATGGTCTCCCTGAAGATGCTCCGGTCGTACTCCCAAGTGTCACACGGAAGCGTGCCGCCCTCGCCGGGACCCGGGACGACACACTTGTACCGCGCCGTGCCACTGCAAAATCAAACTATTTTACTCTCGCTTTCCCGGTCAATTTTGTAGCGAATTGAAAAAAGAGTTTTGTTCAAACTAAAAATTCACTTTGGTTTTTATTAATTAGCCACATCATAATGAACTATCCGTAGGCTAAAATTGCATGAAGTACATCTAGATCACTTCGGGCCTTGATTCACATAAATCGTTAGGTGCATTGGAAGTTCATTCAAATGGCGATTGCTGCACTTGTGCAATGGCAGAGAGATATCGCCGAATGGCGGCACGTCTCGTCGATTGCCCCCCCCCCCCCCCCCCCCCCGGCCGCCCCGCGCTGGCAACAGCCCAGCCCCCGGAAGGGCTGGATTACTCGAACCGAGACTCGAGACAGACGGTGTGAGTCAATGAAGTAAGCCGTCCCCCACCATCTTTTCACGTTGCCACTCTCGACCTATCGCGCGCTACCACGGATCTCGCCAACATCATTCGAGAGCTCGTTGTCAGAGATAAGAAGCCCGTAGGAGGACCGCGAGGGGCCCCGCACCGCTGCACTTTGAATGGCCACGCCAAACAGATAAATCCTCCCACACACTGGCCGCCAGTCGCGAAAACTCCAGCAATCCATTGGTGGGCGGCTCGAGCACCATTCAGCGGTTCCGGAGCTCTGCACGCGTCTCTCGGCCTTACTTGTGCGGGTCGGGGCTCGGCAGCGGGCTGGTGCACCAGTAGTCGACGGGCGGGGCCAGGAAGACGATGCCGATCTTGAACCAGGCGCCGGGCAGCCCCGACATGGCCACGGCCAGCGCGATGCCGAGCTGCCATCGCCCGAAGTCGCCGATGGTGGACTGCAGGGCATCGGCCTTGAGGGACGCCCGCCTGTCGGCCAGGCCCACTGGAAGCAAGCACAATGTTAAAAAAAACACCGGTCTTTTTCGCGTGCAGGAACAGAATACTTGGACATCGCCACGGTTCCTCCTGCCATGACGAGCGATTCCGAGGACTGCTTTCGTCGCTCTGTCTCTCTCGCACTCATGAGGACAGTGGGGCGGTACGTAGAGGTGCGAGAGAGACAGAGCGAATCTCTGGACGGCCTGTCCGCTTGACGCCTTGCTTGACACTCTCCGACGCGGCCACTGCCGAAGACTGCTCTCGTCGCTCTGTCTCTCTCGCACTCTTGGGTGGCGGTCTGTAGGGGTGCGAGAGAGACAGAGCGACGAAAGCGGTCCTCGGAGCCAGCCCTCTGACAGCAGGCGACAAGGCTCGGCCCGGCTCGGCCCGCAATCACGCACTTGTCTCGGCGTGGCCGTCTTCGGCGAGCCAACTGGTCATTTGGCGGAGGAAACGACTGCCTGCCGTGCCCTGCCGAGTCCAGCCGCCCAAATTTATGTTTTCGTCAACGCCGTCCGCAGAATTTTCCGCATCGCACTGGTGCAAGGCAGCCAGCAGGCTGAGAGTCGTTTTCGTCGCTCTGTCTCTCTCGCACCCGAGGACCGTGCAGTACAGGTGCGAGAGAGACAGAGCGATCGGTCCGCGGGCAGACGAGGGAGGAGCCGGGCCGACACGAACCGGGCGGGCCTTGTCGCTCTGTCTCTCTCGCACTCGTCTGCTGGGTCCGCTGGGGTGCGAGAGAGACAGAGCGCTTTTCGTCTCCCTCGCACAGTGGGGGTCATACGATCATGTGTGGTCTAGCCCTTAATGGTAATGGAGGCGGCCAAAACCCGGCCCGTTGCGCAGCGCTGCGCGGCGGGTCTGCCTACCCTCGGTTGGTCGGGCGTTCGGCCGCGTTCGGCCGCGTGGCGGGGAAGGCTCAGAGGGCCAGGCGACAAACTGGGACATCCTCTTCCTCGACATGCTGTGCCCGCGTGGAGGAAGGCGTAGGCACGCGCGCACGTACGCACTCTCACACACACACACACACAGTCAGCCAACGCATCGCCGCGGCAAGGTCACCGTCCTGGCGTCGCGTACTTGCTGCCAGCCACTGACCCTCGCTTTCGTTCGTTCCAGTGTGTGTGTGTGTGCGCGCGCGTGCGTGTGTGTGTGTGTGTGTGTGTGTGTGTAAACGGGGTGTAGAGGCCTGTGTGCATAAGTGGCCGATTGCGTGAGTTCGCTCATGTTCGTGCTATTTATAACAGGTAATCCCCCGTTAACCTAGTAGTAGTCAGACCTTTCCCCAATTGACGCCCAGCCTCAGCTTTTCATTGAACCTCTCTATTCTGTATTTCGCCAGCCCCGCCTCAGAAAAAAAGAAAAACAACAAACGGAACAAAAACCACTCGGGTTTCACAGCGGGCATTTGCGATAATTTATGCAGCAAGTCCCGGCACGGGTTCCGAAGCTCTAGTCGAAATTCCGATTTGACGCGTCTCGGGCGGTGACCCCGTGGCGGGCGCGACGCCAGGGCCAACAGGTTGAAGACTCGACGCTCTCTCTCTCTCTCTCCCACGGAGTGCCCCGTCGGGGTGCGTGTGCGAGAGAGAGGGAGGCAAAACATTGCGCCGCGGGAGACGCAGGCAGGCGCGGGTCCAGACTGCATCCGGCGTCGGAAGAGCCACCGGAACCACTGCAGTCGGTGCAGGCCTTCCAACGAGGATGCAATTCGAAATTTATTTCCCGCTTCGCGAACCAGTCGGCCGTGGAGGGTTTTCGGAGGGCATCTTCGCGGAAGGGAATGCCCCAGCAAGGTTGCCGCACAGTGGATTTGCCAGAAGACCGGTGGAGGCGCTCAAAATTCCGGACGCGTTTTGAGCTCCAGAGCGTCGCTGAATGGGACTCGAACCGAACGTGTGACCCCACCAATGGATTGCTCTCCGAACGAGGAATCCATTGGTGAGGTCACACGTTCGGTTCGAGTCCTGTTGGCCCTTCTGGCTGACTCTGACGAGGGCGATCTCCATGCAGAGCTCTGGTTCTGAGCGCGACTTAAGAACACCCGCAGCTTTCCCGGTTGGACATCGCTCTGTCTCTCTCGCTCTCGTGGGGCGTCTGGCCGGGGCGACGAAACGCCGTTGGGAATGAGTCTACAGACACGTGGTTGTTGGAATTTCGCGAACCGTTTTCTACGGACCGGTTTTTGGACCGGGCTGTGATGACACACCTAGTGGAATCGCGTGCTAAGAAAAAAAAGGGAAAAACGTTTGGGCCGCGCCGGGACGCGAACCCGCAACCATGCCCTCCAATGAGCGACTTCATCACTACTGAGCTTTTCCCTTCACAAAAAAACCTCCTCAGCATGATGCCTGCCTGCACAGCCTTAAGGCTAGCGAAAATTTCAGAGTGCAGGACCGCTATATAGATCCCCACTTGAACCCATTTCACTCTTTTCTTTGTTCCGAGAAAAATTCAAGTGCTCTTCGGGAGCAGCCGGAGGAGCAGAAACTTGTCCGGCGCGACAGCGACCCGGAGGCAAAAAGAAGGACCGCTCTGTGTATCCTGCAGCAAAGCACACGACCTGCGCGTCCGCCGAACGGGGCGTCCTGTCGGGGCCCTGGCCGTGGCAGCAGCGGACGGCCTTGCCCGGCCTTGCCGGCACGCGCACGTGTGTGTGTGTGTGTGTGTGTGTGTGCGTGTGTGTGTACGACAACCCGCAGAAAGCGTCACCGAGCATAAACGTGGCTCGAGGCGCTCTTTTCGCGTAACAGTACGAGACAATGCCTTATTAGCGTCGTTGTTTCGGTATTTTGCCCGATGAAAGCTCTTTTCTTCTTGGTGACCGGTATGGCGACCCCACCATTGGATTGCTCTCCGAACGAGGAATCCATTGGTGGGGTCACACGTTCGGTTCGAGTCCCATTTAGCGACTCTGGAGCTCAAAACGCGTCGGGGATTTTGACCACCTTGTGCGCTGCAGTGCCGTGGATTTCCAGGGAGTAGGGAAATGCGTGTCCAAGACGATCTTAATCGAAACGAGCACGCTCGTCCGCCATTCAGCACATTCCGTGAATTAAAGCCGAGAACCAATGTGAGCGGAGGGTGGGGGACATTTAAAGGAAGCCAAGCAAAACGCCGATCGTGGTGCGGAGAGGTGTTACGTATAGTGCGATTGCTATGTTGGGGACACTTTGTCGGTATAGGACGAGCTTCGCGGCGTCGTCACGACACTAGTATTTACGACCGCATCCTGGAGGGACACACACACACACACACACACACACACACACACAGAGTGTCACGTAAAGCAAATAGCAATTAATCGCCCATTTGGCGGGGCAGTCCTGCTACAGGACCCGGAACCGCTTTGTCGATGGGTGACCCAATGTTCGCGTACACGGTGTTCGCCTTACATAATCCTGGCAAATGGTCGAATTTTAAAACGTAGTCGGTCCAAAGCTTTTAATGGTCACTGTTCAAAAGTCGGAGCAAGTTTGGCGGAGTTGGCAGTGGCGTGCCTCGCTGCGTCCGCCATGCGTCCGCTGCACACGCATTGAACGAGGCGGTGCGTCTTCCTCTCGGCCGAGACGAACGGAAGTGGCGGCCAGGCCGTCGCTCTGTCTCTCTCGCACTCACGGGGCGGCCCTAGTGGGCCCGCAGGGGTGCGAGAGAGACGGACGATCACGGCCAGGGCTTTTGGCGGACATCGAAGGCAGTTCAAGATGCGCGTCGCGAGCGCGGAAGGGGAGAGGGAGACAGAGAGAAACAGAGAGAGAGAGAGAGAGAGAGAGAGAGAGAGAGAGAGAGAGAGGAAGAGAGAAGCCCATGAGCGCGGATTCGACGCAAGGGCAACGATCTGCTAGCGGTTCGCAAGGCAATCGTTGCTCGCGTTTGCGGCTCGCGTGGCTCGCGTGGCGTGCCATTTGGCGGAGTGGCGCGAAACCCCGAGCCGGCAACCCGCCAACCCGGTGACCTTCCGAACCCTCTGACCGACTGACTGGCAGACCGGAGGCAGACCGGAGGCCGCCGGGAGAGCCACACTGTAAAGGAAGTGACGTCAAATCAGGTTTGCTTCTCTTTGACTGCGCCTCATTGAAGAATCGTAGGGCACTCCCTTACTGTGGTCGCTCCAAATCGCTCACGCCGCACTCTACCAAAAATGTCCTGTAAATGCCGTTAATTTATTACCAGTTTTTACTGTAGGTCAATTCACAGCGTTTACTGTGATCTGCTCACGGGATTCGCTGTGATCTTGTTCACGGTGTTCACTGTGATCTGGTCCCCAGTAAACACTGTGAGTTTGACGCCGCTGAGCACCGAAGTACTGCCAATCAGGCTCCAATTCACGGCGTTTACTGTGGCCAGATCACAGTGAACACTGTGACCGAGATCACAGTGAACGCCGTGAACTAGTTCACAGCAAACGCCGTGAATTGCATAACAGCAAACATTGGTAATAAATTAACGGCGTTGACAGGACATTTTTTGTAGAGTGCGTGCCAGAAGGGCCAGAAGACGGTTGGAGGCGGCCAAAACTCTAGACGCGTTTTGAGCTCCAGAGTCGCGAAACAGGACTCGAACCGAACGTGTGACCCCACCAATGGATTCCTCGTTCGGAGAGCAATCCATTGGTGGGGTCACAACCGTTCAGCCTGCAGGTTAGTGAATCCAAACCCGGTGGCCCTCCGACTTCCCGACCCGTATGACGAGCAACGACAAGCGACGCCCAGTCGCTCTGTCTCTCTCGCACCGCAACGCTACGCCGGCACGCCCCGCGAGTGCGACAGAGACAGAGCGAGGGCTGGCTTCCGAGTTCGGTTTGATCGGTCGCGTGAGCCGCAGCCCGCACTGCAGGGCGTGACCCGAAGTGACCCGGCGCCTGTCTCTCGCACCGTGACGGGGATGCCTAACGAGTGCGACAGAGACACCTGTCGGGCGGCGCCGGATCGCACCACACACACAAACCGCTCAGGCAGACCCATTTCGAAAAGCATTTCGTCGCTGTGTGAGTGTCTCTCTCTCTCTCTCTCTCTGACGTGCCCTGCGGGACTGCGGGACGCCCCACCCTTTGAGTCGAGTGCGACAGAGACAGACTGCCACCGGCCAAACGCCAGCTGACGGCTTGTTTACTGACAGCGCCGTGTCGTCTGCCGGGCGTTCGAATCCGCCGCGTCTCGGGCTCCGTCTCGGCCAGCACACTGGTTCCGAGAGTCGTTTTCGTCACTCTGTCTCCCTCGCGCTCGTAGCCCGTCTCCTATACGTGCGAGAGAGACAGAGCGACGAAAGCGACTCTCGGAATCAGTCTGCAGAGCTACGCCCGCTACGCCGTAGGCCGTACTCACTGTTGCCTGGCGGAGGGGCTGCGCGTCGTAGGACCAAGACGTTGAGGACGGCGAGGGAAGACCAGGACGCCGACGACGAGGGAGACCAGGACGCCGACGACGACGGCGGAGGCGCGAGGATTGGCTTTGAACGGCGGCGACGCGGGGCGGCGCAGGGCGGCGAGGGCGCGTGTGTGTTTAGCCGGCCGGACTGCTGCCGACTGCACACGCCGCCGGAGTCTGCTTGAGTCTGCTGCCCTGCTGCCCCGGTCCCCGCCCCCCTCTCTCTCCCTCCCGCTCGCAGCGCAGCCCCCACCTCCTCGCCGCATTGGACAAGGACAGCGCCCCGATCTTGAACCGGCGAACCGGCGGCGCGTCTCTGCCCTCGCTGGACACGGCCGGCCGGGCCAGGCCGGACCTTGCAGCCTGCTTGCAGTGGAGGAGCGCACACAGCCACAACCGCAGACCGCCTGTTACGCGGGTCAGGTCCAGAGCGAACGGAGAGGAGGGGGAGGAAGGGGGGGGGGGGGCAGCGGCTTCCTTTGGGGGCCATGTCGCGCCTACGCATAGCCGGTCATAAGCTCAGAGTCGCACCTTTTGAGACCAGGTCGGAGCTTTTGAGATCAGGTCGCAAACACACATAATGTTTTTGTAAAAATTTTGTACAAGACATCACAGTCTTTTGTGCACACGAAATTTCCGTACAAATTTGGACGCGATTTTGTGCAAAACTGGGGGAAATACGTGCAGTTTTTCGTACAAAATTTGTCCGAAAAGTTCGCGTGCACAAAAAGCTGTGATGTCTCGTACAAAATTGTACATAACATTTTGTGTGAACGACTGGATAGGAGTCTCCAATTGAAAGAGCGTGCGATGCAATAAATAAAAACAATTTATTTGATTCAGACATGCATGTTGCCAAAGGCAACAAATCATACGCATTAAAATTAAATAAAAACAAAATCAGTTTCGTTAAATACTTTACGCTACATAATATGCGTGGCATAAATACTATAAGGTTTGAACTTTTCATTAGGTGCTCTGAATATTGAGCAAACTAGCCGATAACGACTTTGACTTAATAAGCAATCACAACTATAACGAATCTTTGGAAAGTATCACCGAGACACATTTTTCACCATTAGTTCTACACAACGTAGATTCTTTGGTAGACCGTATACATTAATCACAAAACATGTTTCCAACCTCACCATGATCAATAAATTGGAATCAAAGTAAAGACAAGAACAAATGACTTGTTCATTTAAATACTGATTACCACAATCACTATCCTAAAATGGCGCACTTCATCGAAACTTTCTTCCATTGAGAGTATCAGAGCAGTAACACTCTTATCAATACAAATCATTATACTTTTCCGTTAATACTCCATACGGCGAGTGGTCGTATTTTTATCAGCCTTCAAGTTGAAGTGGGACCGTGGGACTCGTGTGTCTCCCGACTTGTAAGTATTATCACAATAAACGGATGCTACCCCCACCTCCAACCTCCATTTAACATCACAAGCAAAGCACATATCTTTCTGCACTCACATACTACATCTGTATCACGCGACTGAGTAGAGTATGAGTTGACGAGTTGGAGGGCAAAATATCTACCGCCTAACGCTAAATGACGCACAATGGAAAAAGTCCAACACAGTGAGAAAACCTCACGAACTATTTTGAGCATGCGAAAGGTTCAAAGTTTGTTAGCGAAATTTGTTCGCAACGATTTTTTAGGGCGGGGAAAAGCTGAAAACACTTTGTAAAATCACGCGGCGAGGCTCAAAATAGCTGGTGAGGTTTCTGAGAGTGAAAACGCGACGACTTGTAGAGGTGAACCCACCCGCCAGGTCTACTTGTCCTGGCTGGCGTCCCTCGCGCTGGCCGGCACGTAGATGCACCCCGACTCGACGCGGACCTCGCCGTGGTGGTCGCCGTGGACGCGGTCGGGCTCCAGGGTCTCGTACAGCGGGCGGCAGTCGTTGGAGCGCTCCTTGCACACGATCATGAGGACGTGGTGGCGGTGCACGACGTGGGGCTGCATCCGCCACTCGCAGACGCCGACCTCGTCGTGGTCCAGCCCCAGCTCCTTCTTCCAGTGGTTGGGGCCCAGGGTGCGCACGCCGTCCTTGCGTTGCGAGGCCAGGTCCAGGAACGCCTTAGCGCGCGCGCTGAGCGCGCAGGGCTGCGCGACGGCCGTCTGCACCACCACGAGGACGGCGGTCAACGCCAGCAAGAGCGAGGGGTGCATGGCGGCGGCTGGCTCTCACCGGCGACTGGCTCTGACTGGTGACTGACTCCGGCTGGTGACTGACACTGGCCTGACTGGCGACTGACTCTGGCACTGACTGGTGACTGGCTCTGACTGGTGACTGACTCTGACTGGTGACGGACACCGGCTGGTCACTGACACTGACTCTGACTGGTGACTGACTAGTGAGTGACTCTGGATCTGGCCGGGGACGAGTGTGGTACCCAGGTGACTGACTGACTGGCTGACCTGCCGGCGCTTCAATATATACAGTCCGCCCTTATCAGCGGCCGTCAAAGGGCCGCCTCGCCGCCCCGTCTCTCTCGCGGGGTGCGCGTCGCCACGGCGCGGCCTAGGGGTGCGAGCGAGATGGGCGAACGATCATCCTTCGGAGCGGCCGACAGCGTATTCCCTCGCAGCGTATTCCCTCGCAGCGTCACGAGGGATGAATCCTCAGATAAACAGACCGCCTTGCTTGGTGTGCTTCGCGGCGTGCTTCGCGTAGACCGCGCGGTGGCGGCCTGGAGCAGATCACGGACGGAATGTCGTCCAAGTGACACACAGGTGAGGCACTCGTCTTCGCCGTCGGGGGATTCCCGCAGAGAGGAGCAGATAAGCACAAGCACCTTTTTAACAGGTAGACTCCACGCGCCGATAATCAGTGTGACGTGGTGTGCGGAAAGCGAAACAGGGCCTTTCAAGTGGTCAACGCCACTCTACAGGCGATGTATTGACTTCCTTCGGACAGTGGGCCAGAAGACCGGTGGAGGATGCCAAAATCCCGTACGCGCTGCAGAGTCGCTCAATGGGACTCGAACCGAACGTGTGACCCCACCAATGGATTGCTCTTCGAACGAGGAATCCATTGGTGGGGTCACACGTTCGGTTCGAGTACCACTTAGCGACTCTGGAGCTCAAAACGCGTCTAGAGTTTTGGCCGCCTCTACCGCCAGCTCGTCGTGGCCTTAGCGCCTGCGAGGTAGGCCAGCGTCCCGTCCCGCAACACTCCGCTGTGGAGACGGTGGCCCACCTCGCCCCTGCGCAGACCACAGGCGCAGTGTAGGCCACCGTCTCCACAGCGGAGTGTTTGAGACGCTACAGTGGCCGGGTAGGCGTCCAATGGGTGGCCTGCAGCTCGGGCGCCGCGAGCGCTGGACCGCGGTGGGAGGGTGGCCTACCTGCACGGGGCTCCGGCCGCCACGCGCCGCCTCCAGTGGAGCGTCGAATGGGTGGCCTATCCACGAGGGGCATGCCGTTCAGCGTCGGGCTGAGTCGCTGCCAGTGCTGCTGTCGACGCGTTTTGAGCCCCAGAGTCGCTAAATGGGACTCGAACCGAACGTATGACCCCACCAATGGATTGCTCTCCGAACGAGGAGTCCATTGGTGGGGTCACACGTTCGGTTCAAGTCCCATTTAGCGACTCTGGAGCTCAAAACGTCTAGAGTTTTGTCCGCCTACACCGGTCTTCTGGCCCACTGGCCCAGGCCGCCGTAGTGAAGCGGCAGAGCGGTACCGCCGGCCGTGCCAAATCCACGTCGCACTTTTGTTTCAGACTGGTCAATTTTGGAGTCAACGCACCGAGAGCACACCGCCCCGCTTCTTCCTGACTGATGTAGATGGATGTGACGTTTTCATAGCGGAGGCAGAACAATCCCATTCGAACCGTGACAACAATAATTCGGGTTGTTTTCGTGGCGGCCGCGGAGGAGCGGCCGGAGTGACAAGAAGACTGACTCGTCGCGCTGTCTCTCTCGCACTCACGGGGCGTCGCGCGGGGGTGTGAGAGAGACGGGGCTATTCGTTCGGAATTGCCGCCATTCTTCACTGTCAGACCGGCTCGGCACGGCTCGGCAGCCAGCCCTTTGTTTTGGAGCAGAGCACTGTTGCGATTGGAGAAGGTCTTCTCCGCCACGACACTGTGCCAAAAGGCAAGAGGCGCGCCCTGCACTGGGAGGCGGCCAAAACTCTGGACGCGTTTTGAGCTCCAGAGTCGCTAAACAGGACACGAACCGAACGCGTGACCCCACCAATGGATTGCTCTCCGAACGAGGAATCCATTGGTGGGGTCACACGTTCGGTTCGAGACCCACTGTGGGTTGGGAACCCTGCCGTTGGTGGGTGTGTCGCTTGCTCTTGTGCATGGCGTTGGCGTGGCGTTGCCATTCCGTCGAGGCTGTATCTAGGTTCGCTGATTCGACGCGGTCGGTATGACTGTTGTCCAACAGTGCACCGGACCACCCAGTCGCCGCGTCCGTAGACTGTTCGCGCCGCCAGGGCCCAAATCACGCCCCCTCCCCCCTCAATCCAACTGGGAGCGTAATAAACCAATGAACTGCTGCGGGAGAATAGAGCGGCTGGTGAGAGGCCCCTCGACTTGTTTTAAAATCCGTGAAGTTAATTTCGGGACCCGGCGTCTGCCGTCGGTCGGAGTCGTAATGGGACAGTCTAGTCTTATTTTGGGTCCACGTTCGAGAATCGGGCTGAAAAGTAGACCGAAATTCCCAACAGTGTCCAACTCCAGCCTGCCTGTTGAGGCAGGTCGACCGGTCTTCTGGCCGACTGTGCAACCTCAGCAGTTTGCGCAGGCCCAACATACGCTCCAAACACTTTCGTAAATTTTACAGTGAGTAAAATCGGAGACACGCCGACTGCATACCCGCGCATAGTTTACAGTGCGAGAGAGGGTAGAGCGACACGGAGGGGCACGGTAACCCTCACGTTTCTCCATGCACCTCCGTCTATAGTTTCCTTGTTGCAGATCAGTTTTGCATAGAGCGCGTGGAGCGCGCTATGCACTTCCATTTAGGCCAGGACCCGTACTCTGTGTGTGTCTGTGTGTGTCTGTGTGTGTGTGTGTGTGTGTGTGTCGACCACAATGGAATTAGAATATACGAGCGACCCACATGCCGGCCGGCTCATGCTGCAGACTGATTCCGAGAGTCGTTTTCGTCGCTCTGTCTCCCTCGCACTCGCGGGGCGTCCCGAATGG